ATTCCATTTGTGATGAGGGAGCACACACAAACTGTAATTTGAAAGAAACACAAGAAAAAGCTAACACTGATCCATGGTTGATTCAACATTGTGACTCTCAGTTACTAAATGGACAAAGTGAAACAGCTGCAAAGATTTAGAAAGTTTAGCAATTTAATTGATAAACTGGGGAGGATTCATCTAATATGGTAACAGCCCCCCAAATCAGCATTTACAATGTTCTTTTCAAGTATACATGAAGGGCTATATCAGAGCACACGGGCAGCCTGTAAAACATTCCACAAGTAAGTAATAGAAATCTGTTTCAAATGAGCTCTAACTCTTCCCCATGTCTCACTGTAAGAAATTAAAAACACCAACTAACCAAAACAGTGAACTGTCCAGTTGATGGAAATTCTCTCTTGTAGTGATTGAATACTGCTTTGACAGCTGGAGTACAGGGCAGCAGAGCAGGTTGTTAAATGTCATTATAAAAGCATTAAAACATGTTTTGTTTGAGTAGCTGATCTGAAACATTTCTACTGCACATAACCATCACCTCTCATGCTGTGTAATAGTGGAATACTAGAGAGTGCAATTCCAGGTCATTTATCTTTTTCACTAAATAAAAATTTATGTTAATCCATTCATTTCACTATCCTATCATTTACGCAGTCAATCACTAGTCAACAACTTCCTTCTCTCTCTACAGCCAAGATAACTAAAGCCTTCTTCTCATTTTCTATTTACTAGTACTTACACTTAGAAAGTTATGCCGGGCGTTGGTGGTGCACACCTTTAATCCCAGCGCTCGGGAGGCAGAGGCAGGCGGATCTCTGTGAGTTCGAGACCAGCCTGGTCTCCAGAACGAGTGCCAGGATAGGCTCCAAAGCCACACAGAGAAACCCTGTCTCAAAAACCAAAAAGAAAGAAAGAAAAGAAAGAAAGTTATTTTACAAGCTGGAGAGTGACTGCTCTTCCAGAGGTCCTGAGTTCAATTCCCAGCAACACATGCTGTCTCACAACCATCTACAATGGGATCTGGTGCCCAATTCCGTCATGCATGTGTACATGCAAACAGACCAGTCATATACAAAAATACATATATCTTTTTTCAGTATTTTACTGTCCTCAGTGATCAAAAAACATTTGTGTTGGCTCCAGCCCCAGGAAGGGTAGAATAATGATGACTGCCATGTTCCCTAGTGAAGCATTGGAATCTGGCTGCTGCAGGTTCACTGCCCTGAAGGCAGCTGGCACCAGCCCTGCTTTCTCCACTCACCTCTGAAGGAGGCAGCACTGATTTCCCCTGTGCCCTGTGTGATTCACAGAGAGCTCAACTCTACATAGCAGAGGCAGGACTCACCTTGAAAATTTCTTCAGCAGTGTCCAGATGCCAGTTCCCCTCAAGGCAAGAAGCAGGACAATTTTCTTTTAGTAAGAAGATGGAACTCCCAGAGATTGGACCAGGATGTTACAATCCCCCAACTGCCAAAAGCATGAAGAATTTTTTCACTCTGTGAAAATCTCTTAGTAGCTTGTCTCACTGAGCAGTGTGCCCCCCTACCTCGTCTCAGTGTCTGTACACCGGCAACTTTGAGGCCGGGCACTGCTGTGGTTACTCATTCCCCCCAGATGCACCCATTATAACTATTTTTTAATTGCAAGAGTTTGCTGCTGAAATGTTACATAAGCAGCAGAGAGTCAAAGCAGATTAGAATGAAGAAAATGAAGAGTATCAAAGCTGAACAAAAACGAAGAACATGACCCTCAGATCTTGTACGTGAGTCTTTATATAGATAAGACTTTCCTGAACACCCCTACTCTAAGGCATTCTAATTATAACCCTATGCAGTTCTGGGAGCTGGACTCCAGGGCTGCATTATGTAGTGCAGTTACTTTTGGTTTAAGCACTACTAAATCATTCTCTCATTCATTAATAGTTCTCCCAGCCTGAAAATAACCCAAGAAAGATTTCGTCACACACTTACAAATGTAATGATGGATAAATGGGAAGGAATTAGCTGCCATCTGGACAAGTGCTAAACTGCTTTCCTTTAGTGATTAAGTTAATGAGTCCTTAGCATTTCTGCACTATTTGTTATTTATGGCTGAACCCAGCAGGTATAGTGGGTCTATGTAATAACACCATTGAAGCCTTGACAACTGTGGCTAAGCTCTTAGGTGTTAGTAACATCAGGAACCTGAAATGACCATTAACCTATTTGTTTTCTGTCAAGGACAGTGGGGACTCTCTGGTGTCTCATGTAATTGGAGACACAGTACAAATGGTGCCAGGCAGTGGATGTCGGTGAGAACACTCCAGCAGATGTGCAAACAGGAATATGTTCTTGGGGTGATATCATTCAGCAGGTTAGGGTCCCATGTGCACATAGGCATGCAAGAAAGTTTTCAAATGCTGGTTTTGGGCAGCTCTTGTGCCCAATGATTTTGACAGAGAGAATGTAGCAGTCAAGCAGGCAGCAGCAGTTACAATCCTGCCTTCTAGTCCTGCATGCAGTTTGCTCATAAGTCTTGGGCATCAAGGCTCTATTGCTCTTGTGTAGTCAGACCTAAGCCATTCACACCCTCTGCTTTCCAAACCTTACAATTCCTGAAGGCTTAGGAACTCAGCATTCACTTGGCCTAGGATTATAGCTTCATGGAGAGCTTGGGTATTGGGAGTCTTCAGTCTTGGACAGCAGCCAGTGTTAACGATTCTAGGTCTAGGGTACCTGAGAACCTTGGCTCCAAATGCTCCACAGGCCTCAGGAAGTCTTCCTATGGCCATTACCTACAGGTTTTCACCTCTAATTCTCTATGCCTTTGGTACTTAATCCTCTACTTCTGCCATGCTGCTGTGACCTGTTGAGACCACTGTCCTTATATTGTTTAGCTGCCCCTTCTGGAAGCCTGCAGTGTCATCATGTTCATTTGCCATGCTGACTGCCTGCATGTCATGCTGCTCTGCTGCATGCACCTTTGCTGTAATGCTGCCACTTCTGCTGGTTCCTTTTTCCTTTTCCTTTTTGGTTCTTATTGGTTTTTATAAATAAAAATTCATACAGCAAAATTTTCCATGGTCTCTTCCCTTTCCCGTCTCCTACCAGATTTTCCCTATCTCCCTACTGCTCAACATCATCAACAAGCTTCCCCCCTCTCTCTCACACACATACACAAATAGAAAAACAAACAAACAAACAAACAAACAAAGAACCAGCAATGTTTGAGGGAGATCTAGGGATTCCCTTTGGCCAAAAATTCAACAAGACTTAACCAATTCCTGGTACTGGGGAGTTTCATGAGGTGTATAGTGCTGGGTATGAATTTTCTCTTCTGTTGCAGACCTCAAATCCAATCTGAAAGCAGTTGGTTACCGCTGTAATAATGGTGCCATTATTATGCCAAGTATTCTACTTTTTTTCTTTTCTTCCAAACTCAAAAAGAAACTGACAACTTTGCTTCTGGTCTTCTCTACACTGTGAGTGGCATAAGTTCGGGCAGGAGAGGCGTTGAGTCCTTATGTAAACATCAGGGTGACTGCAGTTTTCTCCAGGATCTCAATCTTTCACTTTTCTTAGAGGACAACTTGTTAACACACAGGGTGTTATCAAATGCATGCAGAGTAGCAGGACATTTAAGAATGGGTGGGAACACCCTTCCTACAAGGAAGATCATTAGGGTCAAGAAGAAAACAACTTAGAAGCTACAGGAAATCCCTGAAACCAGATTAAATATGTTCCCCCATCCCCAAGAAAGTGTAGACTGAAAGGAGTGTTGCTAGGCACTCACAGACAAGCTAATATTCCTGGACATAATAGAAACCAGTCAAGCTACCTGGAAGAGGCTCAGAGCAACTGAACTACCTGAGAAAGACACTCTCTAATGTATTGTACTGTCCTTAGGCTGTCAAGTGTGTACTAGGTTTCCAGCTGTGGAGGACCAAATAATTCCGTTATGAAATATTTTGAGATCCAGCCTCCAGTTTCACTCAACAGGAGCAACCAGAAGCTCCAGTCTACTATTGTATTGCTAATTAAGAGCAAGTCTACTATTGCTTACCATAGCCTCAGTATAGGATGTCTCCTAGTTTGCATCTCTATTGGGCCTAAGCATCTGAATAGGCCTGCACCTGGACAGAGGGACTAGGTGTAAGTAACTAGGGAGGGTTAGGAGCCATCAAGAGACAGGAGAACAGGACAGAAGTTATCTCCTCGTGGTCATGGCAGGATGGCTAAGAAACAGCCAAAAAGATGACAAAGGGAAGACTCTAGTTTTACAACATGGAACTGAGAGATCTCTAAAGATGACAAGAGGCCTGTGTTTGGTCTTTATTGCTGCTGGGTTGCTAGGAGTTTCCAGATCTACACACCCCCACTCAGGCCGAACCTCATGGGTTAAGACCGAGACATGCCGGGTCATGACACCAGCCCTTATGAACTGTCATTTCTTTTGATGATAAAACTATCTTTGAGTCATTTCTGTTCTTGTAAATAACGCCTTGTCAATATTACTATAAGAACCACAATAAATATGTATCTCATTATGTCACCAAATCAGATTTAAGTTATATCTAAACTTTGGCTTGGGGTTAGGAGATATTTGTTTACTCCTCTTCAGAAATATTGTCCTACAACATAGATATAGATTAATTCCAGCCTACTGTATGTAGGTAGGTTTGACACCGTTATTTTCATCTTTGTTGCACAGCATTTGTAGTCCATATAATTTGAAACTTTAGTTCTATATAAGATACAATTCCCTGTTTCTTACTATTATGGAAAATACATAATTTCCTTTTGTTTTGTATTGTGCCAGGTAACTACAGATAAAGTGTTATATAAGTAAAATAAATGTAATACTGAATGTTGAAAGCTTGGAATCCAAGACCTAATCTTGAGCATTTGATGAGGTTTCTTCCCGTGTCTTTGTTACAGGATATGGGGGTGGTCAGAATCCAAGCCTGGTGTTTTCAAAATCTTCTATTTTCATTCAAAGATTTGGGGTAAGACTCACACAGATAGCAAATAAGCAGTGAAACTTTATTCATGGAAAAGTGTCAGTACCGATTAGACAAGAATATGTATGAAGAGCAGTAAGTAGTGAGCCACTTGAGGACAGGAGCTCAAGGGCCCCAGTTTTTGTTTGGAGCCCCTTTCATGGAGTTCAAGAGAAGGAGCATTTCTAGGGAGGCTTTCAGAATTGAATCAGCGTTGATAGAATTTCCTTCTCACATTGATGACCTTAAAGAAGAAAACGTAGATGTTAAATCCGTTGAAATGCAGATGGTTCCACTCTTCTCTCTACAGTCCTACTGTGTCACGTCCCCCTTCTCACTCTGGCCTATCTCTATAATGCCTCTCCGTCCTTGCAGTCAGCTTGTTTGGAACTATGAAACTAACTAGTCACTCCTACAGGCTTGAGCACAAAGCTACAGTGGAAAGGGCTGAGGTACCTGAGGTAAAGATTGAGTTGCTGATTCTCACTGAACTGCAGGTTGGGAGGAGGGAGAAAAGGCTTTGCTGGTGCAGCTGCTGTAGGGGAAGGTTTGAAACTTTGGCTGATGGTCTGAGAAGGATGGTACTTTAAGAGCATTTCTATGTGAATATCCACGTGATCCCTTATATTTCTTCTGTTTACACTGTAATAGTGACCTTTTTAGTAAAAGTGTAAATTGAATCCCACACAGTGTGTAAGTATGACAAGGATTGTGGATTTTAGCATATTGTGGTCTGATTTGCTCAGGGTAGCCTTGGGGACTTGGCATTTCTTTTCATGATCTTATGTAACACTGAGAATTTGAATGTTACAAATGAAGTCCCCAAGTTCTTTGTGTTTCAGTCTTTGGTCAATTTGAAAAAAAATCAGAGTCAGAATTTGAAACAAACATCTTAATTAACCTGAGTCCTTCTGAATTATCACTCTGCTTTGATAAAGAAATAGGTTTTATTATTTAACTAACCATTTATCAATTTTTGAGTCTATCTGAATTTATTTTCTTTATTATTATTTAAAAACCCTTACTTAAAAATAATGTAAAAAATTTATTAAATACACAAAGCTTAATTTTCCTCCACTTGTTGGATTTTCCATGCAATGCTAATAGTCAAGATTTACTAGAGTATTAAATATGTATTTATGATTCTTAGGAAGAACGATATTTCCCAGAGCACACACCTGCATGTAACTGTGCCTTACAGACCTCAGCAGCCATATGTTTTCACTTGAGGTCAATCTAAAGCAGACCAGCCGAAGTTTATTGCCTGGCTCACACCTGATACGGGTCAGTCGTCCATAGACCACCACTTCCATTGATCCGGTATCATCTCCAATCCAATAGTAAATCTCATTAATCCTCTCATTTTTCTGAAAAACAAGTTAACTTTCATCTTTTCAGAAATGTGTCATTGCTTGTCGAATCAAGCAGAAATAAAGTGTGTCGGCATAAATGTGGCCCTGACAAGGAAAGTGTGGCTCTTAGGTTTAGAATCGTAGGCACAAGGGCCACTGAGATAGCTCAGTGGGTAAGGGTGTTTGTTGGCAACCTGATTATCTGGGCCATATTACCACTACTCATGGTAGAAGGACAAAACTCACATAGGGGAGCTTCTCTACTGACTCCATAATGCTTTCATGGTCTTTGTATTTCCTCTCAATCCTCACAGACAAAATGAATAAATAACTGGAAAGAAAAAACCCTCAATTACAGGGATAAAAGAGTTTAAGGTATTCTGGAGAACAAAACTTTACTTGGTAATCACTTTTGAGGTTTTGTGAGCCTAGCCTTTAATGACGGAGCCATGAGTGCATCTCTTGGAAGCCACTGTTAAGTTTTACCTACCTAAAGACTTCATCTGCTGGGTGTCTTTAGGACAGTGAATATCTTACTAAGTACTAGTGGTAACATCAGAATTGCTGAGGTTTTTCAGGGATCTGAGTAAGGGATCAAAAATGAAAAAACAAAAATAAATAACAAAACCTATTTAGTTACCATTGCAAGTTTCTTAGGTATGTCCAGGAAGTCTGAGAAGAAAGGCTACTTGTGACTCATTGTGAGTCTGAGAAACATTATTATAAGATATTTTAATTTAATTTATTTTATTCTTATTGAAAATAAAGTTATTTCCATAAAACTATGTTCTACTCATAATTTCCCTTCCCCTACCTTCTCCTATATAATCCTCTCCTCCCTACCTTTCCAACTGCACACCTTCTTTCTCTCTTAAGAAAACAAACAGGTGAATAAAGAAGTCAAACCAACAAGAATAAAACAAAGTGTACAAACTGACAGACATAAAAGGAATAGCATGATAAATACACAGACATACAGAGATAGACAGACAAACACACACACACACACACACACACACACACACACACACACACACACACACACACGCACGCACTCACCCGAGAGTGCACATCCCATATAACTGCTATAACTATGAACCACTTCCTTTGGCCAAGAATGAAAGTGGACTGAGGTTGGTTTAGATCTCCTTGCTGCAGTACTTTGTATATGGTTCACATTTGTTCAGTTACCCAAGATTTGCTCACTCCCTCCCAATCCCTCAAGGGTTATATCTACAGCATTTAGTTCTGATATTCTAGTTTGTGTCCCAGTTATTAACTGTGTAACCAAATGTACTGGCACAAACAAAAATAGCATAGATTAAACTAAAAACTGTGATTCATACACAATGAATTATGGACTCAAACATTGAACAAACATACTGATGAAATGGTACATAGGCACTTAAAGAAACACCAGAAAGTCACAGATTTCCTTTAATATCCTAGATTTCATTGTCTCATTGTAAATTGTGAAATTAAACTAGTTTGTTAAGCTCTTCTTTCTCTCATTATTTAAAATATTAGTCACTCTGCTAAAAGGTCTTGTTAAAAATTAAAGACTATGATAATGAAAACACATCTTGGATGGTTGGACATGGCCCTATTTTAGGGCAGAGTAGTCTATTTGGCTTTTTATTCTCATTGTCTCAAACTGTATCTAGTTTATGAGTTTTAGTTTTCCTTCACACTGACTTGCCTATAATATGGGTAAGGAAGCTATCAAAGAAATAAACTCTGAAATGAAAACGTGCTATAAACTGAACAGTGTCTGGGAATAGGATGGCTATAGATGGATTTTCATAGTGAAGAAAATTCCAAAGTTTACTGATGAATTTAAAAAATTCTCATGGTAGTATGTTGAAGAGAAGAATGATAAGAGACTATCCCAAACACCAAAGTGATTTTACTTATATATTCTGATATGAAAGGCAATTGCTTTCTGTGTTAAGTAAGTTGAGCAAATTCCAGTGACAAATTAAAACTTAAAGCCTCAGATTGAAGAAGAAATTTTACAAATAATGCAATGACTTACCATAATTACCACAAACTCTCCATTGACATATGTCCCTTTTGGTAGTGAGAAAAGATCCTTGATTTTAGGAGTTGCACTGGCTGACTGCCTCAGTGTACTTGAGATAACCATCCTTTGCTTAACACTCACATCAGACACAGAAGAAGTGCTGTGTATCTCCAGAAATCCACCAACACCAAAATAATCTGATATAGCAATGATCTTTCCTGCAATGAACTTGTGCTTTAGGGCTGGGTCAAAAACCTTCACTCTGAAGAATTCAGTCTCAGTAGCCACCGTGGCATGGAACATCATTTTGTCTTCAACAAAATCGTAAGTAAATGGTTCTGTTACGTTCAACACCATCACTTCTTTGGGACCTTGCTGATATCCTTGTTCCTTAGAAGGCTCCTTTGGTATGTTTCCTCTCCCTAGTGTCTGCATACAATACACACAGGATCAACATGCATGATTCAGTTAGATCATAATTTCACTGAGTAGAGTGGAGAATATCTAAACAATGATTGCCATACTATAATGTAGGTAAAGGAAGAAATGGATATTTACCTAAATCACTACCTAGTGATTCCACTTAATATTAATTTAACCTGGTAGATGGAGGAGTTATATTTACAGTTGTGGGGAATGAAACAAAGCCTACAATGCTCTAGTCAAGTCTACCTAGGAACATTTTAAAGACTTCGATTACAAAACATTGACTAAAAAGTCAGAGCTTTCTGGTAGTGTTAGGTAGACAGCCTCAGGAAGATCCCCTCAAATATTCTTAATCAGAAAGGGTTCAAGCTAGCAGCTTTTCTATTTGCCTAATAGTGGACATGGAGGAGAATCCTGGCACAAGAACAGGTTTTTTAAGTCATTTTACTTTATAGCATGCCTCCTCAGTATCCTACTCCATTTCTGAGCATCAGGAAATTGCTTTGAAATGGAGGCAGCACTATAAAACTGAAAGAGACAGCATGGTGGCAGTCATGCCAACCTGGGTACCAGCTCATGGAGGCAGCTATAACTGGTAGCAATCTCAGAAATTTGACTTAGAAACTTGCAGACTTCACCCTGGGGGTGGCAGGGGTTAACTTTGATTCCTGATATATGTCTTCTAACATCAGGAACTATATTTCCAATATAACTGGCTCAGCAGTTTAGATGAGGAGACTGATTAGGAGATTAGATAAGAAGTTTTTTCAAGGTTATGATTGCTGTAATTGTATTAAGAAAGCATCAATGTGAGAAAAGGAAACTCTTTCATTGATGAGGAATGTCTTGGAGAGTTTAGTCTATCCCTGGGAGAGGTCTGAAGTTGAGTCTCAACAAAAGTGACCATTGCAGATGTAAAGTATTTGCTCAGTGAATGGGCAGGGATAAAGACTTCCAAGAGGAAACAGCATGTGTTAAAACACCTACGGAGAAGATCACAGAAATGTGAAAATAATCTCTAAAGTTGGGTCACCAGCAAAGGGAAAAGGGCTAAGAAGGAACTAGGCAATGGGGACTGATATGTTCTCTTGTTTATCCTTGTCTGTCTTCCCTATACTTTCTTTTGAACCCTAAGCAGAAAATTGGTTGACAACATTAGAAATCATATCATAAATACTTACCTTTTTAATACCATGGGGACTGTGATATATGATTTGTAACTTAATGAGCTATTGAATAATATGAGGAAAATCTTTGTAGTAGGGGAGCAGTGGGACATTTTTCCGAGGTTGTGATGAGTCCAGTGATGTGCTTGGGAAGGGAACAGGAAAGTGGTGCTTTGTCTGAAGAACTGCTGGATGGTGTTGGTGAATCATTATGAGGAGTCTGGAGACATCCTTCATTTTTTTTTGTATGTTACTTCCTGAAGGTTCTAGAAGCTGTGTTGGCTCCTGAGTGAGCTTCCTCTTTTTTTTTTTTTTTTTTTGCCATCTTCAGTATTTTGGGGTTTTTCTCTATTTATGAAAGAACAATATTTGTCTTTCTTTATTGATTTTCACATGTATAGGAAATCCAACCCCAGGGTTTTGTACAAGGTGAGTGGTGCTTTTCCACACAGTTTGATCCCCAGCCCTAGTACTATTTTTAGTATTAAGTAAAGTATCATATTTCCCAGGCCATAAGAATCTGTTTTATTACTGGATCCTGATTATATTTGTGTCACTGTTCACACCTCATTCTTTTTAAAGAAAACATTTAATTATTATGTATGCAATATTCTGTCCGCATGCATTCCTGCAGGCCAGAACAGGGCACCAGATCTCATTACAGATGTTAGTGAGTCATGTTGTGGTTTCTGGGAATTGAACAAGAGGACCTCTGGAAGACCAGCTAGTGCTCTTAACCACTGAGCCATCTCTCCAACCCCTGTGCATAACTCATTGAGAACAGGTAGATTCTATAGTGTAGTGGTTTGAATAAGAATGGCCCCCATAGATTCATAGATTTGAATGCTTGTTCACCAGGGAGTGGCACTGTTAGGAGATCCGGCCTTGTTGGAGTAGAAGCAGTTGCTGTAGATAACCTAGAAACCTGGACAATATGGGAAGGAATGGACAGCACCTTAGGGGTGAGGAGGCTGTTAGAGACTATTGATACAGACACATGAGGAGTCTGTCAAACATGGGAGATGGATTGGTAAGCCCCCAAGGCATTTGCAACAATAGTTCAGTATTTCTGGATGCATCTATTTAGGTTAAAATCTTTTAACTGACCATCTAACAACTGTAGTTAAATTAAACTGCTGCATATAGTCTATTCAGATCAAAATAATTTCAAATGGTATACCTTCTCAAGAAAAAAAGATTAATTTTAACTGAGGTTTAGACATAAGCATTTGATAATAGGATGAATGTTTAATCATACGAAAGAATCATAGTCTTCAGGGTTTGTGGGTTTGTTTCCACTTCTCCGTGAAGAAACCTCTTTTTGTCTTGATAACAGTTGATTTTCTCTTTTCCTTTTTCTGTTGGAAACTAAACCCCAAGTCTTGTGCATGCCAAGCTGTTCTCTCCTCTCCTATTGAGATTTATTGTGAACCCCCAGTCATGGTTTTCAATGTTAAATAAAGCACAATAACTTTAACACCAAGAGCATCGACTTATCATCCTTGGGGACAGCATTCTCTGAACAGAGAATCAGAGGTAGGATTGTCTTATACAGGAACAAAAATTTCATTTACATCACTTTTCTGTGCATCTTCGTGGCGACAGAAGAGCAGGTCTATGTTTAGAAAGCCCAGCTGGAGGTTTGTTGTCCTTTAAGAGGCTTTGGAAAAGTATGTCCTTAAACTGACTGCTATTTTATCAATGTCTATAAGAAGAACGATGACTTAACCTGTTTTATGTTCCTTTATTGTGCATGTATGGGCTGATGTACCACTGAGGCCATGTGAAAGTCAGAAGACATCACATGGGTGTTAGTTCTCTCTTTCTAATATGTGGGATCTGGGAATCAAACACGGGTCATCAGTGAGGCAGTAAGCACCTCTGCCTGCAGAGCCACCTTGCTTGCCTGAGTAATGATTTTTCATTCCCATCATAGAGAATTACACAACACAAGTTAAAGTATGAGATAGTTCTGACACACGAATGACCAGTAAGTATGAGACTGGTTACCCCACATCTCCACTTTTAAGATCCTATGACTAGACAGATAAGCATTCACTTAATGTAAAAAGGGGAAGAACCTTAGTGGATTTTCCACTGGGAGCTTAACCACCATACCTGTGAGTTCAGTGTACTCCTGCCTGATTCTGGTTCCAAATCTTCATTTGTGGTGGACATAGGTTGGGAAGAACTGGGTTCATCTCTCCCGCGTCTTCTTGCTGGGATGTTGCTTTTCTCCCCCTCTTTCCTTTTAGCTGGTGCCAGAAAGAAAATATTAATGAATGTGTTAGAGTCTTAATCTAGCATTAAATTGAACTCTATTTAAATGATTTTTCATTTTTCACTGTATCATTTTCTATTTTTTTCATCATGTTGGATACTCTAATCTCCTTTAACAACTGCTTTTTATTTTATTTACCTCAAATGCAAAAGATGTCTATGCAGAAATATATCAATTTTCTCTTTAAGAAAGGGTTTCTTGTTTCTGCTTCAAACAGCAATTGGATGACACACAAATAAGCACTGAACCATATTATTGGAATTCAGTTGAGGATAGGGAGGAGGGATAATCAAAGGAGCCAAGATAGGGCAGGAGAGACCTGCAGAAACAGTGGACCTGACCTACTAATAGCATGGAGATCCTTGCCATAAAGCTGGGGAAACAACATTGGATCAAACAAAGCCCTCTGAATGTGGGTGCCAGCTAGGAGGCCAAGACAGTCTATGGGCTCTAACAGTGGAGCCTGTCTTTTTCACTGGAGCACAAATGGACTTTGGGAGCTCATTCCATATGGAGGGATACTATTGCAGCCCAGATAGAGCAAGGAGGGCCTAGGCCATCCCCCAAACAATATGACAGACTTTGAAGGTCCCTGGTGGAGGAGTTGTGGGGTGGGTTGGGGGCGGTTGGTGGGGAAAATGGGAGGATGGCAGAACTAGGGAATGGGGGTGGATGGACATGTAAATATGAGCAGTAATTAAAGAATGTAAATTAAAAAAGAAAGGAAAAGGAGAAAGGAATTCTTGAAATTGTCAGTTTGTTGACATCTGAAATGCTTCGAGCCCTATAGTTTCTAGGGCACTCAGTGGGGAAGAGACCTATCAGCTCTGATCACTGCAGGAAAATAGACAGCTTGGGAAGGGTTGAGAAGGGATAAGTGTGCAGGGTGCTCCCCTGTTACCTTTTGCCTTCTCTGTTTTCAGGCTTTTCACTTGTCCTTTAAGTTCTTCAATGCTTTGACAAACTTCAATCAGTGTGTCCAGTCCAGCATCATTTGGGAATTTGTCTTCCATCAGGTCAGCTATTTGAAATCTGTCATAATCCTCTTGCATCTTTTTCGTTAGATTTAGTTTTTTTCTTAATAAGGACTTGATTGTCCTAAAATGGTTTTCATCCATGTCCTTCATTACTTTTAAAAGAACAATTGTCTTGTATTCACTCATTTTCTCTAAAATTATGTACAATCCTGAAAAATGAAAAATGAACATGGGATTACACACACATATAGACAATTTCAAAGCAGGGCTATTTCTGTGTGAGTGAATGACAGCAATTGATAAGGTGAAAGAAAAAAAGTTTAATACAAGCTGTGCCACTGTTCAAAATGGATGTGGAACTTGTGTCTTAGTAAACAAGTTTAGGAAATCCTTCCCCATTAGTCACTCTAGGTGACTTAGGCCAGTGGCAGCTGTGGTGGAAGAAAAGTGTTGGAATCAGTAATTGTTGCAGTGTTTAGAGTCTAGTCTATGATTATTAAAATCCTGGGTCCTTTTCCATCTTTAGTTGGCGTTGGAGTTTGTTCCTGCGTAACTGCCTGTGAGTTTCTGGTTTGTCTCATTTTGAAGTGATCCATAGGCAAATGGACTGCATCTTACTACAGTGTACCTGAATGAACTATGACTGAAGTAACACGGCTCATGCTGAGCCACTGAACCTTGTCCATCATGCTTCCCCTCAAAACACCCCCTCATTTTAGCATCTTGTCTCTCCTGGGCTTGGATTGTGATCTTTGGGTTCTTTGTGTTCACATCACTGTCAATTTCCCAAATATGCTTTTCAGAGCAGCACCCTAGAATTTATTAGATGGAATTGTGTCAATAGTTTCTTGATTTTATCCTTTCAGGCTTGACTTAATGATTCTTATTTGGTCATAGACACAATTTTATACCTACAAACCATGGGTAAATCCTCCCAGGATCTTTTAATACTTTCCTAATTTATTAGAAATAATCCTTCCTGATAAAATAATTTGTTGTCTTAAAATTATTGGCTAGTCAGTTCTCATAAAACTCCAACATATAACCTCCAGTTAATGTTCTTGGTTACACTCCAGAATTTCATGGTAAGACTCTACTGTAGAAGACACCCTCCTTGAGTTATAGAACATGGAGAAATCAAGGTGATATTTACATGAAAGCCTCATCCCTACTGGCCAGATTTTCCAATTCTGGAAGGTACTATGCACAATATTGGAGGAACAAAATAGTCATTAACTTTACTGTGTTGTTTATCCTTGGGATACAGTAACAACCAGTATGGCAAGACTTGTTCACTGGTGCAATAGTGCCATGAAGATTTGGGGATTAACCATCCAATTTGCTATTTGATTAGGGCCGTATGAGGTGAAACCCATAGCTGGCATCATTACTGAGACTGCAACCCTATGACTAGACTTCTCATAGACTCAGTTTGAAAACCTACAAATTTCATGCTGCTAAATATGAATAGAATTAAAGTTATAATTATGTTCATAGGTCTTTCAATTGTCATCAGAGATATTTGTAAGAAACTAATGACAAAAATTAGAAAAATAGAATTTTTTTTTTAAAAAATAGATTTTCTGGAAATTGCCTAAATCCTCCAATGGAATGAATGTTCTGTGTTGTAGCTCATTCACATTGTATGTACTTCCTTGACAATCTTCAGAGGATTGACAGAGCTCAGTGTTTCAGTTTTGGAATTATGCTTCTATGAACCTCAGTTTATTTGGATATTAATTTCTAGGGCTGTCAATTGCTTCCTTATTTATTGAGAGTAACTGAACACCATCTATGCTCAAAGAAACCCAAGGATGAATAGAAGATTCACACAAGAACATATGACAGGGAGATAATGAATATTAAGAAAAATACATACTCCGTATGCCATAAGACATTTAAAATTAGGTCATTTACAAATTCAAGGAGGAGATGAAAACTGATTCTAAACAGTAAAACTCCCTTCTTCAGAGCTTCATTCCAGTTTTTATGCAATAATGATCTCCATACCCCAAAGAAAATAAAAATATAAAGTTTTTATTTAGGTTGGCTCTTGTGTAAACACAAATATTTCAAGTACAACATAATATGTAATGACAAAGATTATGTGTAATTTTTATGGGTTCCATTTATGTGAGAAATTTCATTTTGTTTTTCAAGTAACATTCCTTTTGAATTTGGACTAATTATCCAACCTCAATAGAATTTCCAGTATGTCACAATATAGCATACATGCATCATTGCTAATCCCTGCCCATCAAATTCTGGATACCAATGTGTGTCCAGCCTCACTTCTAAACAGCTAAACACTTTAAATTTTCAGTGTTTTGAAACACATGACTCCTCTTCCAAATTTCAAAGCCTTGCTAAAATATCCAATGCATTTCAAAAATATCCAAAGTGTCAAAAATATCCAGTGTCTCTGTAAAGCACAGAAGCCTCTCTAAAATGCAGCCTTTAAAAATTCAAAGTGTCTCAACTGTGAACTCTTACAAAATAAAAATTAATCTACCTACCTTCTTATTCCAAGAGGGGAAAAGCAGGCCATAATTATGTTTAAATCATAGCAAACTCAAAATGCAGCAGTATGAAAATATTCTCTGGGCTCAAAGGGCTTTGGCAGCTCCATTTCTTCTGCTCTCCATCCAAGCACACACAGTGATTCTCCTATTCTTATCTACCTCTCTCCACACCTGCTGCCATCCTTGGTGGACATCCCATGGTGCTGACATCTCAAAAATGCTGGGGTCCCCATAGCAGCTTGTTGATACTTCACCAATGTCCTTTCATGGCCTTTACAGTGACAAGACACAGCAATTCCCTATGAACCCTTTATGCCTCCAAAACAGTGCCAACTTTTCACATTGCAAAGTTTGGTTTTCAGCACAAGGTACAGTCTTGCTCCTTTCTGGAAAGCCTCAACTTCTGTGTGCTGACAGTGAGAAGACATTTCCCAGATTATACCTCCATAATGCTGGGGCCTTCTTAATCACATCCTGTTCTTCGGTTCTAGCTGACCAGAATCACAGATTTGTAATTCAAAACATTGAGTCGTCTCAATAGTTTATTTAGGGGACTCTCAATCTTCCCTCTAAAATTTCCAAGCCAGACCTGCACCATCTGCACTGCCCTCTGCTTTATCTTGTAAGTTCCCACAAGAGTTCATCAATCTCTAAACATACAATTGCTTTTACATCCCAAAGTTGCAAACTTCTTTCATAATCCTTCCTAAACACAGTGAGGTGTGTCACAATAATATCCCAAAAAGCAAGCATCAATTTCTCACTTAGGTATAGGTTCTATAGCTGTGATAAAACCCCATGACTAAAACCAACTTGGGCCGACAAGGGTTCATGTCATTTTACACTCCACATCACAGTCCAGTATTGAAGGGAGTCAGAGCAGGAACTCAAGGATGTAACCTGGAGGCAAGAACTGAAACAGAAGCCACAAGGAACCCTGATTACTTGCTTCATCCTCATGGCTTGCTCAGCATTTCAGGAACACCGGCACAGGAATGGCACTGCCCCCAATGGGCTACATACTCACATCAATCATTAATCAAGAATATGCCCTACACACTTTCCTACAGGCTATTTTGAAGGAAGCCTTTTCTCATCTCATTATCTCTTTTCAGATAATTTTATCTTGTGTCAGTTACAAAAACCAACCAGAACTTACCCTTAGAAAGAGAAAATAGTTTAAACGAAAATTTGTATACCTATAATAGTGTATGGTATTCCTTAGTATTTTGTGTCTCTTCATAGGACCATAATAAGTAAGAACATAAAATATGTTTTGTTTCAAATGTGGAGATGCACATAAATCCCTTTCATGTGTATTTGAAAGAGAAAACTCATCTATGAACTTGAGTAAACCCACAATATTTTGATAGATACATCAGTATATTTCTCAAATACTAAATTAACACAGTATAAACATCTGCAAAACAAATTAGAATGTTTGAGAAACATAAATGATACACCAAGAAAGATAACATTACATGCATATATATTCTAAATTACTCTGTTCAGTACACATTAAGAACTCAAAGAGTACATGGGACAGCTTTAAAATATCCTAAAAGTAGGCAATAGAGATACATTTCTAATTAACTCTTCCTCAGCCCCTTACATTTTCCTTCAGAAAATTAAAAAAAAAAAACAAATTCGAACAATCTAAAGGTAAAGAAACCAAATAATTTTCAATATGACAGAAACTAACTCACTGTGATTGAGATACTACTGATAAAAAGATAATGATAACTATGTTTGTGGATGATCAGAAAAAGATGGACTTGAATAACTGTAGCAATCTTTGGAACTTTGAACTATGCATGTCTACTGTTTTTCATGCTGCTCAATATTGGAACACTAGGTTGCAGTTCCAAGTCCTGATGTATTTTCACTAAAGACTATTTCACAGTAATTCTTTGATGTCACTATCCTATTGTTTAACCAGTCATTTCACACAGCCAACTAGTTCCTTCTTAATCTCCAGTCAAGATAACTAAAGTCTTGGCCTCCTAGCTGGCACCCACATTCAGAGAGCTTGATTCTGTCCAATGCTGGTTCCCCAGGTTTACGACTAGGGTCTCCAGAGTGCAGCCAGTGTTTATCCCTAGAGCACAAATGGACTTTGGGAGCCCATTCCTTATGGAGGGTTACTATTGTAGCCCAGATATGAGAAGGAGGGCCTGGGCCCTACACCCAAATGATGTGAGGGACTTTGATGGTCCCCCTTGGAGGACCTCACTATTCCTGGGGAGTAGGTGGGGAGTCGGGTGGAGGGTCAGTGGGAAGCATGGGAGGTTGGGAGGGTGAGGGAATGGGGGATTGATATGTAAATAAGAGTACTTCCAAAATAAAATTAAAAAATGTAAAAAAAAAAAAAAAAGATAACTAAAGCCTTCCTCTCATTTTCCATTTCCTCATACTTACACTTAGAAAGTTATTTTATTATCAGCCTTAACCAAAATTCATTTTTGTTGCCTCAGGCCAAAAGAAGAGTGGAATAAAGATGTCTGCTGAAGCTTCAGAACCTAGAAGTTGAGCAGCTGGCACCAGCCCTGCTCCTTCCAATCTCCTCTGAAGGAAACAGTTCTGATTTCCCTGTTCCCTAATGGGGCCCTGGGAACTCTCAACTACATGGCAGGGGGCAGGACTCACCTTCTTGGAAATTTCTTCAGCAGTGTCCAGATCCTAGTTTGTCTGCAAGGCAAGAAGCAGGGCAAGTTTTATTCGAGTAAGGAGATGAAACTCTCAGTTTGGACAGGGATGTTGCAATCCCTCAACTGCCAAGAACATGAAGCGTTTTTAAAGATGGGAAAAATGACATTGGTCAGTCATTTCACTTCATTTGAAGTTGCGCAACCTTGAATGTCTTGCCCTCTGTTATTCTTGGGAGAGGAGGGTTGCAAAAGTGAAGACTCCTCCCATTGCTCTTAGCTTTCGATTTCCCCAGCTAGCAAGATTCATGAATGGCTAACAATGTTTTTGTTGGACAGTCCTGATTTAAGTAAAACTGACTTGTAGTAAAGTGGATATGATCTTTAAAAAAAAAAATAACAATTCCAATTGTAGAAATACTTTCACTGCTCTCCCTTTCTCAAAATAGGATTGGACTTAATTATTAAAGTTCTACTTTCCACAAAGATGGGTGTGTCACCTCAAACCTATTGAATGGTTTTATACTTAAATTTATATAACTGGACATATGAGTATGTTTAAACACTGGGAAAATTCTGTTACTGTCTCAGTAATGAGAAGACTCACCAGTGTTTCAGTTTGTATTCACTGGTCTGTTACAGGCAATGGCTATACATCAGGAAGTAGCTTGCCTTGATGATGTCATTTTAATTAGAATTCCCTAAGTCAAAGGATGCTGCCTTTTACCACTGAAAGGCACTTACTGTGGTTTATGTGTAATAGCAAATAAAGAGTATTTAGTGCTTCTTTATAGTTGATCTATTAAGTCAAAATACTTTTAGAAACCAGAAACTTAGACCTTACTTTTTAATACTTAATGATCTAAGACCAAGTTGTAATTCAGAATTGTGCTAAAAAGCCCATTCAGAAACACACAAAACTGGAACTTCTCTATATGTGTGACTGGTAGTGGCACTCTTTGCCAACTTCTTAGATAGAAAGATTAAAATAAAAGAGATAGTTTATAAGTTATCAACAAGAAGATAATTAAAAAAACCACAGATCATGAAAAACATTCGATTTTCTCTTAACTGCGTAACCTTACTTAGCATGAAAAACAAAGGTCTGTTGTACTCAGTTGGTTTCTTACATGTCTTCATAGTTGGATGTTCCAACCTTAAGCCTTCAGGTCCAACAGGCTTATCCATGGGTCACTAAGAAACACATTCCTCTGAATAAAGGCACATCTGAAAGGGAAGGAGGGAACCACCCAGATGCTTCTCCCTCCTCTCCACTCAGAGTGGTGGCGGCAGGAGGAGAATTGAGCAGGAGGATATTCCCACCAAGAACTAAACACATTTGCTTAGCAGAAGATACAGAGTACAACTATTTTGGTTTAAGCACTTACTAAATCATTCTCTCATTCATTAATAGTTCCCCAAGCTCGAAAATAACCCAAGAAGGATTTCGTCACACATTTGAAAATGTAATGATGGGTAAATGGGAAGGAATTAGCTGCCATCTGGACAAGAGCTAAACTGCTTTCCTTTAGTGATTAAGTTAATGAGTCCTTAGCATTTCTGCACTATTTGTTATTTATGGCTGAACCCAGCAGGTATAGTGGGTCTATGTAATAACACCATTGAAGCCTTGACAACTGTGGCTAAGCTCTTAGGTGTTAGTAACATCAGGAACCTGAAATGACCATTAACCTATTTGTTTTCTGTCAAGGACAGTGGGGACTCTCTGGTGTCTCATGTAATTGGAGACACAGTACAAATGGTGCCAGGCAGTGGATGTCGGTGAGAACACTCCAGCAGATGTGCAAACAGGAATATGTTCTTGGGGTGATATCATTCAGCAGGTTAGGGTCCCATGTGCACATAGGCATGCAAGAAAGTTTTCAAATGCTGGTTTGGGGCAGCTCTTGTGCCCAATGATTTTGACAGAGAGAATATAGCAGGCAGGCAGGCAACAGCAGTTACAATCCTGCCTTCTAGTCCTGCATGCAGTTTGCTCATAAGTCTTGGGCATCAAGGCTCTATTGCTCTTGTGTAGTCAGACCTAAGCCATTCACACCCTCTGCTTTCCAAACCTTACAATTCCTGAAGGCTTAGGAACTCAGCATTCACTTGGCCTAGGATTATAGCTTCATGGAGAGCTTGGGTATTGGGAGTCTTCAGTCTTGGACAGCAGCCAGTGTTAACGATTCTAGGTCTAGGGTACCTGAGAACCTTGGCTCCAAATGCTCCACAGGCCTCAGGAAGTCTTCCTATGGTCATTATCTACAGGTTTTCACCTCTAATTCTCTATGCCTTTGGTACTTAATCCTCTACTTCTGCCATGCTGCTGTGACCTGTTGAGACCACTGTCCTTATATTGTTCAGCTGCCCCTTCTGGAAGCCTGCAGTGTCGTCATGTTCATTTGCCATGCTGACTGCCTGCATGTCTAGCTGCTCTGCTGCATGCACCTTTGCTGTAATGCTGCCACTTCTGCTGGTTCCTTTTTCCTTTTCCTTTTTGGTTCTTATTGGTTTTTATAAATAAAAATTCATACAGCAAAATTTTCCATGGTCTCTTCCCTTTCCCGTCTCCTACCAGATTTTCCCTATCTCCCTACTGCTCAACATCATCAACAAGCTTCCCCCCTCTCTCTCACACACATACACAAATAGAAAAACAAACAAACAAACAAACAAACAAAGAACCAGCAATGTTTGAGGGAGATCTAGGGATTCCCTTTGGCCAAAAATTCAACAAGGCACAGACACACACACAAACAAACAATAGCCAGCAATATTCGAGGGAGATCTATGGAATCCCTTTGGCCTAAGATTCAACAAGAGGCAAAAATTCCTGGTATTGGGGAGTTTGATGAGGTGTGTAGTATTAGGTATGAATTTTTCTCTTCTGTTGAAGGCCTCAAATCCAATCAGAAAGCAGTTTGTTACCACTGTAATAATGGTGTCATCATTATGCCAAGTATTCTATTTTTTTCTTTTGTCCCAAACTCAAAAAGAAACTGACAACTTTGCTTCTGGTCTTCTCTACACTCTGAGAGGCATAAGTTCAGGCAGGAGAGGAGTTGAGTCCTTATGTAAACATCAGGGAGACTGCAGTTTCCTCCAAGATCTCAGTCTTTCACATCAAAGGAAAGCTTGTTAACACACAGAGTTTTAACAAAAACATGCAGAGTAGCAGGATATTTAAGAATGGGTGGAAACTCCCATCTTTCAAGGAAGATCATTAAGGTCAAGGAGTAAACAATTTAGAGGCTTCAGAAAGTCCCTGAAACCACATAGAATTGGGTATTTCATCCCCAGAAATGTACAGACTTTATGGAGTGTTGCTAGACACTCTCAGACAAGCTAATATGCCTGGACAAATTAGAGACCAGCCCAGCTACCTGGAAGAGGTTCAGAGCAACTGAACCAAATAAAAAGAACACTCTCCAAAACATTACTCTGCCCTTAGGCTGTCAAGGATCCTCTAAGTTTCTAGCTATTGTGAGATGTTACTCCTTTTGGTGAAAAAGCTATCTTTGAGTCATTTCTGCTCCTGTAAGTAACATCTTGTCAATATTACTACAAGAACCACAATAAGTATAAATCTCATTGGTTTACCAAATCATACTTCAGTTATATCTAAAATTTGGCTTGGGGTTAGTAGATATTTGTTTACACCTCTCGAGAAATATTGTCTTACAACATAGATATAGGATAATTCCAGCATACTATATGTAGGTAGATTTGACATCGTTATTTTCATCTTTGTTGCACAACATTTATAGATTATATAATTTGAAACATTAGTTCTGTATAAGATACAATTCTGTTTCTTACTCTTATGGAGAATACATAATTTTCTTTTGTCTGAGTCTGTTTATTATTGTGTAAGAACATTACAGATAAAGTGTTATATAAGTAAATAAATGTAATACTGAGTGTTGAAAGCTTGGCAATCCAAGACCTAATCTTTGGCATTTGGTGAAGTTTTTTCCTGTATCTTTTTTACAGGATATGGTGGTGATCAGAATCCAAGCCTGGTGTTTTCAAAATCTTCTATTTTCATTCTAATATTTGGGGTTCACACATTTTAAAGAAGCCGGGAAACTATATTCATGGTAGTGTAAGTTCAGATCAGACAAAAATATGTATGAAGAACAACAGTGAGCCACATGAGGAAAGGAGCTCAAGGGCCCCGGTTTTTGTTTGGAGCCCCTTTCATGGAGTTCAAGAGAAGGAGTAGTGAGGTCACTGAAGGGGTGTGACACAGGTGAATCTTCATTTCAATAAATAGGCTTATATTAGGTAGGCATTTCATTCCTGTTCATATCCCTTTCCACACAGTATTTTATTTTGATTATATACACACAATTATACATAGGAATAAGTGGTTAAATAGTATATTCATCATAAAAGTTCCCTGTGAGGATGGAGTTTATCTTGTTGTAATGTCAGCCAAACTAGTCTAGCCTAGATCAGACCATCTATCTTGGTACCAATAGTGTTCTGTGATATATTTGAATATAAGTGTCTTATGAAAGTATTTCTAAGGGCAGTAATAATTTTAATTGTTTGATATATATATATATATATATATATATATATATATATATATTTGCAACCTAAAATATGTGTGTGTGTCCATGTGGCCAAATACTTTTCATTTATATTGTGAGAAGAATGCTGTGTGTACACAGGAGATACAGAAAATGGTCTCTGGCTGGATAGTGCATTTGTGACTATTGGACAAGAAAAGTGGAGCCTCGAGTGTCGAATCTGTTCCCCAGGCTAGTCTGTCTCATCTTCATGTTCTGGAAGAACAAAGCTAAAACAAAACAGATAATAAAAGAGAAACAAACATAATTCCCTTCCACAAATGATTTTCCAATGGATCTAGTTGATCTATTGATGGGAAGTGACCATGAACTAAACACACCCCATTAAGCCCAAATTTCCAGGATCAATTAGAATGGGAAATAAAACATGGATTTCTAAGATGAGAGTTGCACTCATCTTTTCTCTTCTCTCTTTCTGACATTATTTCTCCTATTAGCACTGTTTCTTTGCTCTTACCACCATGTCAGATCATTGCCTCTTGTGACTGTTCACATTGATTGTGAACCAGACAGGATCTAGAATCACTCCTGAGAATCCCTTGCCCATATACATGAGGTGCTTTCTAGACAGAGTTAGGAATTTGAAACACTCATCTTAAATGTGGGTGGTGTTGTCGAATAGATTTAGATTTCGAATTGAATAAAAGGAGAGAGAGAGGCACACACAGAGCACTCAGCTCTGGAAATCACCTCTTTCTGCATCCTGCTGTAATCACAATGTGACTGTCCATCTTACTCTCTTCTGCCATTAAATCATGAGCAAAATTAAACCCATTCTTCCTTCAGTTGCTTTGGTCAGGTGTGTTTGCAGAGCAGGGAGAGAGTTTACAATACTCCAGAAAGTCCTCTCTGGGAATCCTGACTAATTTCTTAATTCCTTAGTCATAGGGCTTGCTCTAAGCTATCAAGGTTTCCAAAAACATATTTCATACTAGAATTGGAGTTGAGATTCCTTACTGTTGCAAATATTATTCCCCACTCTTAGCATCCCACTTTGGGAGATTCTTTGCTCAAATAATTAAACTGCATACCACACACATTTACTCAGCAAAATGGGTCAAATCTTGTCCTGTCCTCAGCACATTAGTTTTGGAAACTACACTCAAGGCTGAATTCAAACTTCTCCTGTGTCTTATTAATGTTTTGTTTTTATTTTTTTCTCGGCAGGACACAGTCTGTTTGTTTTTGAATATGATTTGTCCTTAAACAATACACTTGAATCCTGTATTCCACAGATTTTTCTGGAGGCCAATGGCTTTTATTTTACAGCAACACTTAAATGGTTGAAAGATATTCCCAGGGAATCACTGCTTTATAGAAAATGTGAGTATTTTTTAACTTTAATATGAAACTTATAGATTACCAATTATAAAGGTTATATATAGAAACATGAAATTTAGATTAACACAAACATATATAAAGAATATAATAAAGCACAGTTTCCTAGAATTAAGAGAGGGCTGGGCTGTGGTGGCTTCAGGCCTTGAATCTCAGCAAAAGGGACACAGAAGCAGGCAGATCTCTGAGTTTGAGGCCTGCCTGGTTTACAAAGTGATTTTCAGGATATTAAAGACTAAACAGTGAAACCCTGTCTTGAAAAACGAAGAAAGAGAGAGTCAAACAAACAAACAAAGAGCTGGCTTTAATAGGTATGTATTTCAAAGGTAATATGTACATTTACATTTTGGACTTGAATCTTACATCTGCTAACATTATCCTTCGCATCCAGGTTTTCAGGAGTATGGTTCTAGGGAGCTTTTCATAACTGCATCAGTGTTGACAGACTTTCCTTCTGACATTGATGACCTTAAAGAAGAATACGTTGAGGTTAGATCAGTTGAAATGTAGATGGTTCCACACTTCTCTTGACATTCCTACGGACTAGTCAACATGAGTCACATCCGCTTTCTCACTCTGGTCTATCTCTATAATGCCTCTCTATCCTTGCAGTCAGCTTTCTTCCCTTGTTTAGACTATGAAACTAACTAGTCACTCCTACAGGCTTGAGCACAAAGTTACAGTGGAGAGGAAAGAGCTGAGGTACCCATGTTTTACCCTTTAGTCAATTTGAAAAATCAGAGAGTCAGAATTTGAAGCACACATCTTAATTATTCTGAGTTCTGCCCAATGAGATAGTTTTTATTATTTGCTAAACATTTATCAACTTTTGAGTATTTCTGAATTCATTTTCTTTATTATGATTCAAAAATCCTTACTTAAAATACAATGGAAGGAAGATTATTTATTAAATGTGCAAAACTTAATTTTCCTCCACTTGTTAGATTTTCTACACAATGCCAACAGTCAAGTTTTACTAGAGTATTAAAAAATATGATTCTTAAGAAGAATCATATTTCCCAGAGCACACACCTGCATGTAACTGTGCCTTACAGACTTCAGCTGCCATGTGTCTTCACTTGAGGACAATTCAAAGCAGACAAGTCGAAGTTTATTGCCTGGCTCACACTTGATACTGGTCAGTCGTCCATAGACGACCACTTCCATTTTCCCGGTATCATCTTCTATACCATAGTAAATGAAGTTATTCCTCTCAGTTTTCTGAAAAACAAATTAACTTTCATCTTTTCAGAATGTGTTAAAGCTTGTCACATTGATGAACAATAAAGAGTGTCAGCATAAACCTGTCCCTGAGAAGGCAAGTATGGCACCTAGTTTTAGAATCACAGGCACAAGGGCCAGTGAGATGGCTCAGTGGGTAAGGGTAATGGTGTTTGTTGGCAAGTCTGATTGCCTGGGCTCCATTACCAGAACACATGGTAGAAGGACAGAACTTGTTTGTGGATTTTCTCTTCTGACTCCACAATAGTTTCATGGCCTTTGTTTCCTCTCAACCCTCCCCAACAATATATAGAAATAACTGAAAAAATAGAATTATAGGAACAAAGGAGTTTAAGATGTTCAGGTGAGCACATCTTTTCTTGGAAATCGGTCTGGAGGTTTTGTGAGCCTAGCTTTTAATGTCTGAGCCATGAGTGCAGCCCTTGGAAGCCACTGTTAAGTTTTACCTACCTGAGGACTTCATCTGCTGGGTATCTTTAGGAAAATGAGTATCATACTAAGTACTAGTTTTAATATATCAGAATTGCTGAAGTTTTCTCAGGCTCCCAAGTAAGGGGCCAAAAATAAAAAAAAAACAAATATAAGTCAAAACCCATTCAGTTACCATTGCTGGTTCTTTAGGTATAAATATGAGGCCTGAGATAAAAGGCACTTGGTGCTCATTGTGAATCTGAGAAACATTATTATAAGTCCTTTTTTATTTACTTTATTCAATTTTTATTGAAAATAATGTTATTTTCAAAGAAAATGTTCTGATTATATTTTTCCTCTCCCTAGATAATCCTCTCCTCCCTACCTTTCCAAATCCACACCTTCTTTCTCTCTCTGTCTTAAGAGAACCAACAGGTGAATAAAGAAGACAATCCAGCTAGAATAACACAAAATGTGCAAACTAGCAGACATAAAAATGATATAGCATGAGAAACCAATAGGCAGACAGACAAACACAGCCAGCCAGATAGACAAACAGACATCCAGCCACACACACACACACACACACACACACACACACACACACACACACACACACACACAGAGAGAGAGAGAGAGAGAGAGAGAGAGAGAGAGAGAGAGAGACCTCCTTTTTAAATGGATCACTTTTGCTCAGTGCACACATGGATTCACTCTGCTCCTTCCTCACCCTCAACAGTTAAATCTACAGCATTAGTTCTGGTATTTTAGTTTGTGTCCCACTTAGTTTACTTATTAATTGTTTAAGCAGATGATCCAGCAAGTCAAAAACAGCATACATAAAAGTAAAAAGCCATGGCAGATTCTTACACAATTAATTATGAAATCACACATTGAACAAGAACACAAATGAAGTGATGTATCGCATGTAAAGAAACACCAGAACGCCATAGCATTGCTGTGGCTTGTTATAAATTGTGAAATTAAACTAGTCTGTTAAACTCCTCTTTCTCTCATTTTTTCAAACCTTAGTCACTCCTTCAAAATATCTTGATAAAACATAAAGAATGTGATAATGAGAACACATTCAATATATAATCCTGGCTTGTTGGACATGGTTTCATTTTAGGGCAGAATAATCACTTGTTTTTTTATATTCTCATCTTCTCAAACTGTATCTAAGTTATGGTTGATTCTTCATTCACAACTGAGTAAATATGGATAAGGAAGATCCCAAAGAAACAAAATCTTAATAGCAAGCATGGTATAAACTGAAGAGTGTCTGGGAATAGGATGGCTATAGGTGGATTGACACATCCAGGAAAAACGATAAAGGTTATTGAGAGATTACTTTCTTGAGGAAAAGAATGATAAGAGAATATCCCAATCTCCAAAGTAAGGAAATCTTAGACAAGTGTTACTGACATGTGTTAAGTAAGTTGTTAAGTAAGTTGAGGAAATTCCAGTGACAAGTTAAAACTTAAAATCTCAGATTGCAAAGAAATTTTATAATTAATGCAATGGCTCACCTTAATTACCACAAACTCTCCGTTCATATATGTCCCTTTTGGTAGTGAGAAAAGATCCTTGATTTTAGGGGTTGCACTGGCTCTTTGCTTCAGTGCATTTGAGATAACCATCATTTGGTTAACATTCACATCAGACACAGAGGTAGTGCTGTGTATCTCCAGAAATCCATTGGTGCCAAAATAATCAGATATTGCAATGATATTTTTTGGAAAAAACTTGTCCTTTAGGGCTGTGTTAAAAACCTTCACTCTGAAGAATTCAGTCTCAGTAGCCACGGTGGCATGGAACATCATTTTGTTGTCAATCAAATCATAAGTAAATGGTTCTGTTACTTTCAAAACCATCACTTCTTTGGGTCCATGCTGATGTCCTTGTTCCTTAGAAGGCTCCTTTGGTATGTTTCTCCTCCCTAGTTTCTGCATAAAACACACACAGGACAAACATAATTCAGGCAGATCACATTGCAAAAATCCACTGAGTAGAGTGGAGAACATCTAAACAATTCTTGTCATACTACAACATAGATAAAGAGAGAAATGGACATTTACCTTAATCACTACCTAGTGATAACAGTTATTACTAACTATGCCTGGTAGATAAAGGTATTATACTTATAGTTGTAGGGAATGAACCCAAAGCCTCCAATGCTCTAATCAAGTCTTCTATCTGGAAAAATTTTTAAGATTTCGATTACAAAACCTTGACTAAAAGTCAGATCTTTCTTATAAAAGGAATAGGTAGGCCGCCTCAGGAAGATCCCCTGAAATATTGTTAATCAGAAAGGGTTCTGGCTAGCAGCTCTTCTATTTGAATAATAGCACGAATGGAGGAGAATCCTGCCACCAGGAAAAGGTCATGGAGTCATTTTACTTTGATCCCCTGCCTCCTCAGTATCTGGCTCCATTCTGACCGTTAGGAGAGCACTTTGAAATGGAAGCAACACTGGAGAACTGAAGCAGAAAGCATGGTGGCAGTCATGGCCACCTGGCTACCAGCTCAGGGAGGCAGCAATAACTGGTAGCACTCTCTGAAATCTGACTTGGCAGCATACAGCCTTCACCCTGTGGGGGGCAGGGTTTAACTCTAATTCTTGGTGGATGTGTTCTAACATCAGGAAGTGCATTTTCAATATAACTGGCTCGGCAGATTTGATGAGGACATTGACTGGGAGATTAAATGGCAAGTTCTTCAAGGTCATGATTGCTGTAGTTATATTAAGAAAAGATCAACATGGGAACAGGAAGATGATCCCTCTGATGAGAAATGTCTGGGGGAGTTTAGTCTATCCCTAGGAGGGGTCTGAAGGTGACTCTCAGCAAAAGTGACCATTACAGATATAAAGTATTTGCTCAGTGAATAGGCAGGGATAAATACTTCCAAGAGGAAAACAGCATGTTTCAAAACACCTGCTGAGAAGGGCACAGAAAGCTGAAAATAACCACTGAAGTTGAGTCACCAGCAAAGGGAAAAGGGCTAAGAAGGAACTAAGCAATAGGGATCGATAAGGTCTTCTATTGTCCTTGTCTGTCTACCCTGTACTTTCTTCTCAACCCTAAGCAAAAAGTTGGTTGACAACATTAGAAATCATTTCATAAAAACTTATCTTTTCCATACCAGGGAGGTCATAATACAAGATTTGATAACTTAACAAGCCATTTAATAATATGAGGAAAATCTTTGTAGTAGGGGACCAGTGAGACATTTTTCCACATTTGTGGTGTGTCCAGACAACCTTAGGGAAGGGGCAAACACTGGCAATAGGAAAGTGGTACCTTATTTGAGGAATGAATGGATGGTGTTGGTGGAGGCTTTAGAGGAGTCTGGAGGCACCTGTCATCTTTTTGTGTGTTGCTTCCTGAAGGTGCTAGAGGCTGAGTCGGCTCCTGGGTGAGCTTCCTTTTCTTGCCACCTTCAGTTTTTATGGGTGTTTTTTGCTTTCTCTGAAAGAACAATGTTTCTCTTTATTGATTTTTGAAATTGAACCCCAGGGTTTGTACATGGTAAATTGTGCTTTTTTATACAATTTTATCCCCAGTTCTTAGTAATGTCTTAAGTATTAAGTAAAGCATAGTATTTTCAAGGCCATATGAACATTTGTTTTATTACTGGACTCTAAATATTTTTGTGACATTGTGTAAACTTCATTGTTAACAGACAGATTGTATAGTGTGGATGTTTGAAAAAGAATGCCCCCCCCCCTTAGACTCGTAGATTTGAATATTTGGTCACCAGGCTTCTAGAAGCTGTTGCTGAAAGTCCCTGAGGAGACTGCAGTTCACTGATGCAGTTCACAGCATGTTATTTGCTGACAATTCTTGAAGCTGGTGTTTTTTTCTGGGAAACTTCTGTGGCTATAGTACTATGATTTTGATGCCTGTGTTTTTCTGTTTCTAAACTAAATTAAGATTGAGATATTTTTAATACCACTTAATGGTTTTTGAAAATAAGGCCAAGTATATCTTTTCACTCTTCTGAAAAGAGTAATTTTACCCTGCCAGCTTTCTCCTGGGTTGAAGGAAGCATTTTAGAACATACTTAAGTATTTCTAACACCTAGCTTCCTCCCTTCCTAATAGACATAGACATTACAACTTCTCTAACAAGCTAGGTGCTGAATTTTCATTGGTCTGAGAAGGAATGCTAGCTGAAAATATCTTACAAAACTGGTCAAATATTATTTGGTTTGCTTCAACTCTTAGAGTTATTTTTTTGAGAAATGAAGTTTATAGTAAATTTGGCTTTTTTTTACTTTTCTTCATGTAAACTTTCTAATCCATCAAATATTCAATCCTTATTGTGCATACAGGGAGCCCACCTCCCCCCACACACTTTCAGGTGATGTGACTGAAATTATATGACAGGTACCATAAAAAAAATGGAGCACATAGATGGATTTTGGTGGAAGGGGATGTAGCTCAGTTGACAAAGGGCTGGACTAGCATGCCTGAAGCCCATCGGGATTCATTTAAACCTTTGTTTAGGTTTTTAAAATTACCATAATTCCAGTTAAACAAAACTTTTACACACGTGAGAAATCCTTGTGCTTCAGGCAACAGATCTAGTTATGGTCTTCATCACACTTTTATAATCTTAGAACTATAAAATTTTAAAGATTATAAATTTTCCTTTAAAAGTGAAGGTAAATTAGTATGCAAATACATTTGTATAATTGAATTGGCCCTTTTTTCTGTGATCTTTTTATGTTTTTGATCGTCCAAGGTAAGCCTTCTAAAATGCAAAAATTGCTATGAAGCTGATGCCATTCAAGTTACAATTATTACTAACTGTAGACTATTTTCCAAGAATATGTACATTTTGAATTATATTACTGTTATCATAAATAAACACATTTAATTAGATGTGCCTAAGGAGTTCCAATGCTAAATAACAGGACTCTACTATTAGAAAAGATTGAATGTTGGTCACATTGATTTTGTTCAACACATTTGGACCATGTAGTAAAATAAGATTTGTGTAAATTGCAGTCAGGATCTCAAAATATATGCCTAATTAGTGGATGGTATATGTGTATAATAGGGTATGTTAAAATGAGAGTAGATGAGGAGTTATTCCAAGGTTATGGTCATTGTAATTACATTAAGAAGGCATGGAAATGGGGACAGGATGTTGTTCCCTTTGATGAGATATGGCTGGGAGAGTTTAGTCTATGCCTGGAGGGATCTGAAGGTGACTCTCAGCAAAAGTGACCATTACAGTTATACAGTACTTGGTTAGTGAGTGGACAGGGATAAAGACTTCCAAGCGGGGAAATAGCATGTGTCAAAACACCTGCAGAATAGAAAACAGAATGGTGACAATAACATCTGAAGTTAGATCACTAGCAAAGGAAAAAGGACTGAGAAGAAACTGGGCAATAGGGATTGATACGGTTTTCTGTTTACCCTTGTTTGTCTACCCAGTACTTTCTTCTGAACCCTAAGCAGAAAGTTCATTGTCAACACTAGAAATCATTTCATAAAAATTTACATTTTCAGTCCTATGGAGGCTGTGATACTTGGTTAGATAACTTAAGGAGCTATTTAATAATATGAGGAAAATCTTTGTAGTTGGTAACCATTGAGATATTTTTCCAAGGTTATGGTCAATCCAATGATATGCTTGGGAAGGGGCAAGTCCTGGGAATAGGAAAGTGGTACCTTGTTTGTGGAACTGCTGGATGGTGTTGGTGGAGGCTTTTGAGGAGTCTGGAGACATCCTTGATCTGTTTGTGTGCTGCCTTGTGAAGGTTCTGGAAGTTGAGTTGTCTCCTGGGTGAGCTTCTTTTTATTGCCACCTTCAGTTTTTGTGGGTGTTTTTCTCTTTTTCTGAAAGAACCATGTTTATTTTTCTTTATTGATTTTCCCATGTGGGAAATTGAATCGCTGGCTTTATACATGCCAAGTTGTACTTTTCTATACAGTTTTATCACAAGGCCTAAAAATGTCATTAGTACTAAGCAAAGAAGAATATTTACATGACCACAAGAATATTTCTTTTATTACCGGATTCTAATTATATTTCTGCAGCCTCATTCTTAAAAGTTGGATTGCATAGTGTGGATGTTTGAATAATAATGTCCTGCATAGAGTCACAGAAGTGACCAACAATGCTTGGTCACCAGGGATTGTCAGCATTAGGATGTGGGTCCTTGTTGGAGTAGGTGTACTTTGTTGGAGGAAGTGTGTCTCTGAGGTTTCAGATGCTTAAGCCAGGACCAGTGTGTCTCTATCTTCCTGCTGCTTGGAGATCAGGATGTAGAACTGTGGGCTACCCCTCTATCACAATGTCTGCCTGCATGCTGCCATGCTTCCCTCCATGACAATAATTGACTAAACCTCTGAATACAAGGAAGTGCTAATTAAATTTGTCTTTTGATAAGAGATGGTGTAATCATGATATCTCTTCGAGGCAATATAAATCCTAACTTGGAGATATATGATTGTCTAGCAGAGGAGTGGAAAAATTGCATCTATCTCGCCCTATATATCCCTGTAGTGGCCAAAAGTATTTGGTGTAGAATTACAAACATTGTATTGGTTTTTCTGTTTGTAAAATCCAGGTCACAAAACAAGTCTATTCCAGTAAATGGTCTTGAAAAAAACCACGTAGTGATTGTATGTTTGCATCATTGGGGAGTTAGACTGCACAAGTTAGAGCACATGATAAATCTGACACAAAATGAGTGACAGGTCACTATGAATTTGCTCACTTAGAGCCCTGTTCTCACTAGGACATTGGAATAAACACAGAGTTTGACATCTTTCTAAGGAATTAAGAAGGTAAGGAACTCAAGTAGAAACTTTTTGGTGGGAGACTGGCCACCTTACCTTTGAAGAGGCTTTATTTTTGTTGGATTCAACACCAGTAGGAAGAGATTTGGAACTACTGGGTTCATCTTGCTTTCCTGCAGTTTTATTTTTTTCTTTCTTTTGACTTTTAACTACAGGGATGAAGAAAACACAATAAATCCAGGGAAATGGTTAAGATGGCTGAACCTCATTCAGAATTATTTCATTTTCTTTCTTTTTTAAAAAAAATGAAATTGGTAATTCCTTCCATTTTCATTAGCAAGTTTACAGAAAGACAATGATTTCGTGTTGATATTAACAAAACCTCAATCCTTCGATTTTACCAATGTAGACTCAGGAGCCAGATGTTGGAGTGAAAGCCTAGTAGCTCACAGAGCCATAGTAAACACCCAGCTGACCTTCCTATTTCACTGGTGTCCCATAAACCCCCTTTTCCTATACTGTCTCAATGCAAAATCTTCCAAAGCCATTGTCCCTCACTTCTACTTCCTGTCCTTCTCTTTCACCATCCTCCTGGATTCCTCTTATGCTCAATGTTTTTTTCTTAATAATCCTATGTTCACGTCCTGTTAGCTGGTTGTTTGCTCTGCCTCTTGGCCTAGGGTTGACTTTATTTAATACTGTTTACAATATGCAAGCAGAAATCTATTGGCTTAAATTTGTGTGCTAGGCCTGAACCACACCAAATATAGAAAGAGTTTTTTTTTTTTTTTCAGGTAAATAATGTGATCAATGGGTGCACAGTGTGATCAAATATCCTGCCACACTTTCAAGAACTATTTCATCTGTACTCAGGTCTGTGTATTTCCTCTCTTCTGCTGCAGAGACTCCACCTGCTCAGAAGTTCTCCAGTGGTACCAAGTCAGATACAGGCATCGCCTTGAGAGATACTTTGCAAATCCCAGGTGTAGTGAACCTAGTTTCTCTATATTGGTAACTTCTGTTTTTATCATTACGACCCTATCCCTGCCCTCTTATCCCACAGACTGACTTTGAAAACAAGAAACTTTTATGGTGTTAGCAATATCTACCCTCTAAGGAGGATAGTTCCATGTCATAGAAAGAGAGAAAGAATTATGATTTGATGGTTGATGTAACAAAGTAGTAACATTGGATTTTGACTTCTATATTAGGGATATAGCTTTCTATGTAAATCAGGGTATTTTCAATTGGCAGTTCTCCTTGACTGAACCTTCTTATGCTACATTCCCAGGTCAGAGTGGTGTACCAGTATATCAAATATTTTTTTAAACCTTGTGACTTTATAAAGGGGAAATGTCTTCACATCTCTAAAATGCAGGTTTCTACTTAAGTTTTAGACCACGCATCTTAGCAGAAAATATTAATTAATGTGTAAGAGTCTTAATCTAGCATTAAATTTAACTCTATTCAAATACTTTAAATGATTTTTCATTTTTTAGTTTATAGTTTTCTATTTTTTCCATCATGTTGGATATTCTTATATCCCCCAACAACTGCTATTTATTTTATTTACCTCCAAAGCAAAAGTTGTCAATCCAGAAATATATCAATTTTCTCTGTAAGAAAGGATTTCTCGAAATTGTCAGTTTGTTGACATCTAAAATGCTTCAAGCCCTATAGTTTGTAAGGCACACAGTGGGGAAGAGACCTATCAGCTCTGATCACTGAAGGAAAATAGACAGCTTGGGGAGGGTTGAGAAGGGATAAGTGTGCAGGGTGCTCCCCTGTTACCTTTTGCCTTCTCTGTTTTCAGGTTTTTCGCAAGGCCTTTAAGTTCTTCAATGCTTTGACAAACTTCAATCAGTGTGTCCAGTCCAGCATCATTTGGGAATTTGTCTTCCATCAGGTCAGCTATTTGAAATCTGTCATAATCCTCTTGCATCTCTTTCGTTAGATTTAGTTTTTTTCTTAGTAAGGACTTGATTGTCCTAAAATGGTTATCATCTATGAACTTCATTCCTTTTAAAAGAACAATTGTCTTGTATTCACTCATTTTCTCTAAAATTATGGACAATCCTGAAAGATGAAAAATGGACATGGGATTACACACACATATAGACAATTTCAAAGCAGGGCTATTTCTATGTGAGTAAATGACAATAATTGATAAGGTGAGAGAAAAAAAAGTTTAATACAAGCTGTGCCACTGTTCAAAATGGATGTGGAACTTGTGTTTAGTAAACAAGTTTAGGAAATTCTTCCCCATTAGTCACTCTAGGTGACTTAGGCCAGTGGCGGCTGTGGTGGAAGAAAAGTGTTAGAATAAGTAGTGGTTGCAGTGTTCACAGTCGAGTCCATGATTATTGAAATCCTGGGTCCCTTTTCCTTCCTTATTTGTGCCGGAGCCTGTTCCTGGATATCTGCCTGTGGGTTTCTGGATTGTCTCATTCTAAAGTGATCTATATGCAAATGGACTGCATCTTACTACAGTGTACCTGAATGAACTATGACTGAAGCAACACGGCCCATGAGGAGCCACTGAACCTTGTCTACTAGGCTTCCCCTCAAACACCCCATCTTTTTAACATCCCATCTCTTCTGTGCTTGGATTGTGATCTTTGGGTTCTTTGTGTTCACATCTCTGTCAATTTCCCAAACATCTATATACTTTTCAGAGCAGCACCCCAGAATTTAATTCATTGGAATTGTGTCAGTAGTTTCTTAATTTTATCTTTTCAGGCTTGACTTAATGATTCTTATTTGGTCATAGACACAATTTTATACCTACAAACAAAGCTTAAATCCTCCCAAGATCTTTTAATACTTTCCTAATTTATTAGGATTATTCCTTCTGATAAATTAATTTGCTCTCTTAAAATTCTTGGCCAGTCAGTTCTCATAGAACTCCAACAAACAATCTCCAGTTAATGTTCTTGGTGTGGTTGAGACTCTACTGCTGAAGACACCCTCCTTGAGTCAGAGAACATGGAGAAATCAAGTTGATATTTACATGGAAGCCTCATCCCTACTGGCCAGATTTTCCAGTTCTAGAAAGTACTATGCCCAATACTGAAGGAACAAAACAATCATTAACTTTCCTTTGTTGTTTATCCTTGGGATACAGTAACAACCAGTATGGCAAGACTTGTTCACTGGTGCAATAGTGCCATGAAGATTTGGGGATTAACCATCCAATTTGCTATTTGATTAGGGCCGTATGAGGTGAAACCCATAGCTGGCATCATTACTGAGACTGCAACCCTATGACTAGACTTCTCATCATCAGAGAAATTTGTAAGAAACTAATGACAAAAATTAGAAAAATAGAAATAAAAAAAATAGACTTTCTGGAAATTGCCTAAATCCTCCAATGTAATGAATGTTCTGTGTTGTAGCTCATTCACATTGTATGTACTTCCTTGACAATCTTCAGAGGATTGACAGAGCCCAGTGTTTCAGTTTTGGAATTATGCTTCTATGAACCTCAGTTTATTTGGATATTAATTTCTAGTGCTGTCAATTGTTTCTCTATGTATTGAGAGTAACTGAACACCATCTATGCTCAAAGAAACCCAAGGATGAATAGAAGATTGACACAAGAACATATGACAAGTAGATAATGAGTATTAAGAAAAATACATACTTAGTATGCCATCAGACATTTAAAATTAGATCATTTACAAATTCAAGGAGGAGATGAAAACTGATCCTCAACAATAAAACTCTCTTCTTCAGAGCAGCTTTTAGTTTTTATGCAATACTGTTCTACAGATCCCAAAGAAAATAAAAATATAAAGTTTTTATTTAGGTTGGTTCTTGTGAAAACACAAATATTTGAAGTAAAACATGATATATAATAACAATTATGTGTAGTTTTATGGGTTCCATTTATGTGAGAAATTTCATTGTATTATTGAAGAGTCATTGCTTTTGAATTTGGACTAATTATCCAACCTCAACAGAATTTCCAGTATGTCACAATATAGCATACATGCATCAATGCTAATCCCTGCCCATCAAATTCTGGATACCAATGTGTGTCCAGCCTCACTTCTAAACAGCTAAACACTTTAAATGTTCAGTGTCTTTGAAACACATGACACCTCTTCCAAATTTCAAAGCCTTGCTAAAATATCCAATGCATTTCAAAAATATCCAAAGTCTCTCTTAAATACCCAGTGTCTCTGTAAAGCACAGAAGCCTCTCTAAAATGCAGCCTTTAAAAATTCAAAGTGTCTCAACTGTGAACTCTTACAAAATAAAAATTAATCTACCTACCTTCTTATTCCAAGAGGGGAAAACCAGGCCATACTTATATTTAAATCATAGCAAACTCAAAATACAGCAGTGTGAAAATATTCTCAGGGCTCAAAAGGCCTTGGCAGCTCCATTTCTTCTGCTCCTCCATCCTAGCACACACAGTGATTCTCCTATGTTTGTCTACCACTCTCCACACCTGCTGCCATCCTTGGTGGACATCCCATGGTGCTGACATCTCAAAAATACTGGGGTCCCCATAGCAGCTAATCTGATACTTCACCAATGTCCTTTCATGGACTTTCACAGTAACAAGACACAGCAATTCCCTATGAACCCTATGCTGGTCCTTTCTTAATCACATCCAGTTCTTCAGTATCAGCTGACCAGAATCACAGATTTGTAATTCAAAACATTGAGTTGTGTCAATTGATTCTTTAGAGGACTCTCAATCTTCCCTCTAAAATTTCCAAGCCAAACCTGCACCATCTGCATTGCCCCCTGCATTATCTTGTAAGTTCCCACAATATTTCATCAATCTGTAAACATACAATTGCTTTTATATCCCAAAGTTACAAAATTCTTTCACAATCTTTCCTAAAACAGTCATGTGTGTCACAATAATATCTCATAAACCCAGTTCCAATATCTGTCTTAGTTATAGGTTCTATAACTGGGGTAAAACACTGTGACTAAAACCAACTTGGACCGATAAGGGTTCATGTCATTTTACAATCCACATCACAGTCCTTTATTGAAGGAAATCAGAAAAGGAACTCAAGGCTGGGATTTGGAGGCAGGAACTGAAACAGAAGCCATGAGGAACTCTGATTACTTGCTTGATCCTCACAGCTTGCTCAGCATTTAGGAACAACTTCACAGGAGTAACACAGCCCCTGTGGGCTACATACTCACGTCAACCATTAATCAAGACCATGATGCTACATACTCACACAACCATTAATCAAGTCTGAGCAAGTGGGAGCTCACAGACTCCAGACTGACAGCTGGGGAACCTGCATAAGAACTAACCTGGTCCCTGACCTTGGGTGTCAGTTGGGGGCCTTTGGCCATCTATGGGGCTTCTGGCTGTGGAACCAGTATTTTTCCCTAGTGCATGAATGGGCATTTGGAGCCTATTCCCTATGGAGGGATACTTTGCTGAGTCTAGATATAGAGACAGAGGGCCTAGGTCCTGCCCCAAAAGATGTGACAGACGTAACAATCCCCTATGGGAGGCCTCACCCTCCCTGACTAGTGGATGGGCTATGGGATGGGGAGATGGTGGGGAGAATGGGAGGATAGGTAGGAGATGGAACTGGGATTGGCATGTAAAATAAGATTGTTTTTTATTTTAGTCATTCTGATAGGAGTAAGATGGTATCGCAGAGTTGTTTTGATGACTAAGGATGTTGAGCACTTTCTTATGTGTCTTTCAACCATTTTAGATTCCTCTAGTGAGAATTCTCTATTTAGTTCTGTACCCGACATTTTAGTTGGATTAGTTGGTGTTTTGGTGACTAGCTTCTTGAGTTATTTGTATATTTTGGAAATCAGCCCTCTGTCAGATATGGTTTATGCTGGAGAGGATGTGGAGAGAAGGGAACACTCCTCCCCTGATGGTGAGTGTGCAAACTTCTATAACCACTTTGGAAATCAGTATGGTGGTTCCTCAGGAAAATGGGAATCAGTCTACCACAAGATCCAGAAATTCCACTCTTAGGCATGTACCCAAAGATGCACATTCATACAACAAGGACATCTGTTCAACCATGTTCATGGTAGAATTATTTGTAATAACCAGAACCTGGAAGCAATCTAGATGCCCCACAACTGAAGAATGGATGGAGAAAATGTGGTCCATTTACACAATAGAGTACTACTCATCGGTAAAACAAAACAATGGAATCTTGAAATTCAAACACAAATGGGTGAAACTAGAAGAAACCATCCTGAGTGAGGTAAGCCAGTAACCGAAAGACAAAAATGGTGTGCACTCACTCATATATAGATTTTAGACCTATAACAAAGAAGTAGTACCCTACAATCCACACCATCAGAGAAGCTAGGAAACAACGAGGACTCTAAGAGAGACATACATGGTCCCCCGGAGATGGGGAAAAGGACAAAATCCCCTAAGCTAATTGAGAGCATAGAGGGGGGAGAGGAGTTAAAAGAAAGAGAAGGGGAGAAGAGGACAAGAGAGAGCAGGAAGATTGTCAGTGGAAGAATAGAGGAGAGCAAGAAAAGAGATACTATAATAGAGAGAGCCAGTATAGGTTTAAAGAGAAAGCTGGCACTAAGGAATTGTTCAAAGATCTACAAGGTTGACCTCAACTAACAATCTAAGCAATAGTGGAAAGGCTACCTTAAAAGCCCTTCTCCCATAATGAGATTGGTGACCTTACACACCACCTGAGAGCCTTGATCCAGTAGCTGATGGAAGCAGAAGCAGATACCCACAGCTAAGCACTGAGATGAACCCTGGAACCCAGTTGCAGAGAGGGAGGAGTGATGGGCAAAGGTGTCAAGATCAGGCTGGAGAAACCCACAGAAACAGCTGACCTGAACAAGGGGTTGCTCATAGACCCCAGACTGATAGCTGGGAAACCAACATAGGACTGTTCCAGAACCCCTGAACAAGCCTGTCAGTTTGAAGGTCTGGTTAATCTATGGGGCCTCTGGTAGTGGATCAGTATTTATTCCTAGTATATGAATGGACTTTGGGAGCCCTCTCCACATAAAGGGGTACTCTCTCAGCCTAGACACACAGGGGAGGGTCTACATCCTGCTCCAAATGATATGATAGACTTTGAGCAGAAAGGGGATGGCATGGGGGTTGGTGAGGGTTTGGGGAGAAGGGGAGGGTGAGGGAACTGGGATTGACATGTAAATGAAGCTTGTTTCTAATTGAAATACAAAAGAAAAAAAGAAGTGCAATGGCTATGTTAAAACAAAAACAAAATAAAATTGTTTTTAATTTAAATACAAATTAATTTAAAACAGAATATGCCCTACACAATTTTGAATGAAGCATTTTCTCAACTCAGACATCTCTTGCAATATAATTTTATTTTGTGTCAAATTGACAAAAATTCCAGAACATAACCTAGAAAGAAATAATATTTTAACTTGAATTTCTATATCAGTGATTGTGTATGGTATTTCTTAGTATTTTATGTCTCTTCATAGGATCATAATGTCACAACATAACATATGTTTTATTCCCAATGTGCAGATGCACACAAACCCTCTCATGTAAATTGAAAGAGCAAACTGATGTGTGAACTTGAGAAGATGCACAGTAATTTGACAGATGCAGCAGAATACTTTTCAAATACTAAATTAACAAGATATAAAGCCTTGGAAATTTTAGAATGTTTTAGAAACATATGTGATACACCTAGAGATAACCTTACACACATATATGTCTCATGTCAACTTCTAAAATACTCTGTTCAAGTATACATTAAGGACTCTAGAGGGTAAGTGAGACCCCTTTAAACATTCTAAAAGTAGGTAATAGAAATATATTTCTAAATAACTCTCCATCAGCCCCTTACATTTTCCACCTTAAAATTTTTTAAAAAATTACACACTAAAATAAAAGAAAACAATAACTTTCAAGATGGCAGAAACTAACTCATTATGGTTGAGATACTGCTGATAAAATAGATAATGATAAATACATCTGAGGATGATCAAAAAAACATGTACTTGAATAACTGTGGGAATCTGTGGAACTTTGAACTATCATGCTCATTGTTTCTCATGTTAGTCAATATCGGAATAGCTCCAGGCCCTGATACATTTTCACTAAATACTATTTCACAGTAATTTTTTAAAATCACTATCCTAATCATTACCCAGTAAATCACCAAAGCCAACAGGTTCCTTCTCTCTCTCCAGCCAAGATAACTAAAAAGCCTTCTTTTCATTTTCCATTTCTTCATACTTACACTTAGAAAGTTATTTTATTATCAGCCATGATCAAAATGCATTTTTCGTGGTTCAAGGCCCAGTAAGACTGCAGTAGCAATGTCTGCCGTCTTCCTAGTGAAGCACTAGAAAATAGGTGTTGTGGGTTTACTCCCCGGAAAGCAGCTGGCACCAGCACTGTTCCCTCCAATCTCCTGAAGGAAGCAGTTGTGATTTTCCCTGTCCCCTAATGGGTTCCACAGAGCTCTGAACTCTCTATAGCAGGGGGCAGGACTCACCTTCTTGGAAATTTCTTCAGCAGTGCCCAGATCCTAGTTTGTCTGCAAGGCAAGAAGCAGGGCAAGTTCTATTTGAATAAGAAGATTAAACTCTCAGTTTGAACAGGGATGTTGCAATCCCTCAACTGCCAAGAACATGAAGGATTTTTAATGGTGGGAAGAATGACAGGGGTCAGAGTCATTTCACTTCATTTCAAGTTGCTCAACCTTGAATGTCTTGCCCTCTGTTATTCCTGGGAGAGGAGGGTTGCAAAAGTGAAGACTCCTCCCATTGTTCTTAGCTTTCGATTTCCCCAGCTACAAGATTTGATTTTCTCCTAACTGCTACACTTAACTTAGCATGAAAAACAAAGGTCTGCTGTACTCAGTTGTTTTTCTTGCATGTCTTCATAGGTTAATTTTGCTAAAGGTTTGTCAGTCTTGTTGACTTTTCTCAAAGGGGTAACTTTAATTGATTCTCTGTAATGTTTTTATTGCTTCAATTTTCTTGAGTTCAGCCCTGAGTTTGATAACTTCTGTCTGGCTACCGCTTTAGAGTACCTTTTATTCTTGTTTGTATTTCTAGAACCTTCAAATTACTAATATAATACTTTTATAGTTTTTTTTTTTTGACGTTGATACTTAGTGCTATGAACTTGGCTTTTAGAACACCACTCACTGTTTCTCATAGATTTGGTTATGTTGCATTTTAATTTTAATTCTTTTCTAAAAGGTGTTTAATTTCCTTCTTGATTTCTGTTGGGCCCAGTTTACATTAGTAGAGAGTTGTTAAGCTTCCATGAATTTGCATACTACTGTAGTGGCATCTTATTCTGCCAGTGGACTTGGGGTGTGGATGTGACCCTGTATAAGGAAGAGGAGGGGCATGTGTATCCCCTTTATCCAGAGGCAGTTCTTTGTCCCTCAAAGACAAATAAAAACCCCTTACCCCCTACCCTTGTCCCCTTCTTCTTTTCCCAGTCCCCATCCCCTTTACCACTGCCTCCCAGACCGTTCTAACACAGACCTCCCCTTTCCCACTCTTAAAATGACACATCATTTGCTGCTGTTTTTCCGCCTGAGTCAGAAAGCAGCCACTTTAACTTTTCTTCCCAGCTTAATAAATGATCTCTCTATGAAAACAGTCATTTGGGTGTGGTGTCTGCCTAATGTAGGATCTGGAAGGGAGCCCCACCTGTTTGGGAATCCCCTTCAAGTTTGGTGGCTTACTTAGGAAGGAGATAGATTATCTTGATTGTTTTTGTTTTTGCATTGAGAACTAAACATCTCTAGTGGATCTCTGTCCCTTCTTTGCTGTGTGGATGTTCAGCTTTTTTCTCCTTGTTATTCTGGTCTGACAGATTAGGCCAGGAAAACAATGCTTAGAATTTAGCCTTGGAATCACTCTAGGTGTTAAAGTTAAGACTCCAACTAGCCCCAGATCTCAAGCTCTAATTGGAGTTCTGGATTCAAATTCCAAATAGCTCCCAAATTGGTGCAGTGGCTGGTGCTGATGTTAGGTAAGCATCTCAGTACTAGAATTAATAGCAACTCCTCTAGGTGGACTTTTTCTGCCCTGGAAGCTGCTCCCAAATAACAACTCTGTTCAGTTTAGGAGTATTACTAACTAGGTTCTACAGCTTACATTAATCCATTTTTATTAATTTATGTGCTGCCCCAAGGCCTTTTTTTTTTTAACCTCATTTGTGAACTTTCCATGTTGTTTCTTCTGCATTTGGCTCATGACTTCCGACTCAACCCTTATTCTACCCACTGTCCTTTGTTTGGCTCTCCTGCCTAACCTTATCCTGTCCAGCTATTGGCCAGTAGCTTCTTTATGAAACCGATCACAGTGACATATAGTCACACAATGTAAAGGGGCATTCCACATTTCTCTCTTTTTCTCCCATTAAAAAAGGAAGGTTTTCACTTTAATAGAGTAAAATTATTCACAACAAAAAGAAGCTACTCTGACCAAGGCTGTGAGTAGCATTAAACTACAAATATAAACTTGATTATTTTAGGGTAACTGATAATAAGTTCTGTAGTTTGTAGTGAGTTTTTTGTTTTTTTTTGTTTTTTTTGTTTTGTTTTTTTTTTGTTTTGTTTTTTTTTTTTGTCCTACCAGCCAACTTCCAAATCCCTACACAGATACTTTTTATTAATTATGAAATCTCTGTCAACAATAGCATAGGATTCTTTTTTTAGCTAGATCTTATAACCCATTTCTATTGATTTCCTTGCTGCCATGTGGCTTAGGGCTTGTTACCTCATCTACATATCATGGTTTCTCCACATCTCCATGTGACTTTGCCCTTCCTCTTCCCATAGTCCTCTGTGCCCTAAAAATCCTGCCTAGCTATTAGCTGTTCAGCTATTTTACTTTATGAATCTGAGTGACATATCTTTACACAATGTAATTAAATATCACACAACAGAGGTTTCTCCCTGTGGCCTGCTCTCTCCAGGTGAGAAGTTTTGATGAAGTGTATATGCTAGGTATGAATTTACTCTTGTGTAACAGGTCTCAAGTCCAATCAGAAAGCAGTTGGTTACTATGCTTACAGTGAGGCCATCACTGTGTCAGGTATCCTACATTTTCTTTTGTCCAGAACTCAAAAAGAAACTGACAGAGAGGCTTCTGGTCTTCTCCATACTGTAAGTGGTACAAATTCAGGCAGGAGAGGAGTTGAGTCCCTCTGTAAACACCAGGGAGACTGCAGTTTCCTCCAAGATCTCACTCTTTCACTTTTCTTAGAGGAAAGCTTATTAACACACAGGGTATTTATCAAAAGCATGCAGAGTAGCAGGACATTTAAGAATGGGTGAGCCGGGCATTGGTGGCACATGCCTTTAATCCTAGCACTCAGGAAGCAGAGGCAGGCGGTTATCTGTGAGTTCCAGGCGAGCCTGGTCTCCAGAGCGAGTGCCAGAATAGGATCCAAAGCTACAAAGAATGGGTGGGAACTCCCATCCTGGAAGAAGTAAACAACTTAGAGGCTTCAGGAAGTCCCTGAAACCAGATATAATGGGGTCCTCCATCCCAAAGAATGTAAGGAGTGTTGCTAGATACTCTCAGATAAGATAATATGTCTAGACAAAATAGAGACCAGCCAAGCTACCTGGAAGAGGCTCAGACAAACTAACTAGGTGAAAAGGACACTCGCCTAAGCACTGTACTGTCTATAGGATGTCAAGGGTGCTCTAGGTTTCTAGTTGTTGTGAGCTGTTACTCCTTTTGAATGAAGTGGTGATATAGCTGTTTTTGAGTCATTCCTCCTCCTGTCAGCAACATCCCATGATATTACATGCTTTACATGATGTTACTATCAGCTTTACTTGTACCCGAACTTTAGCTTTGGGTGAGTAGATATTTGTTTAAACCTCTCCAGAACTATTGTCATACAACGTAGATAGAGGATAGTTCCAATCTACTTTATATAGGTATATTTAACAATGTTACTCTCATCTTTGTTGTACAGCATTTGTGGATTATATAAATTGAAAAGTTATGTCTATATAAGATATAATTCTCTGTATCAGACTATTACAGAAAGCATGTAATTTCCTTCTGTCTGAGTCTGTTTTGTGTTATGTCAAGACACTATAGATCTCCTGAGCTAATTGGGAGCATGGGGGAGGGGAGAGAGAGCTAGAAGAAAGAGAAGGGGAAAAGAGGAGGAGAGAGGAGGACATGAGAGAACAGGAAGATTTAGTCAGGGGAAGAAAAGAGGAGAGCAAGAAAAGAGATACCATAGTAGAGGGAGCCATTAAAGGTTTAAAGGGAATTCTGGCACTAGGAAAATGTCCAGAGATCTATAAGTTTGACCCCAACTAACAATCTAAGCAATAGTTGAGAGGCTACCTTAAATGCCATTCTCTGATAATGAGATTGATGACTACTTTATATGCCATCCTAGAGCCTTGATACAGCAGCTGATGGAAACAGAAGCAGAAACCCACAACTTAACCGTGAGATGAACTCTGGAATCCAGTTGCATGCAAAGTGATGAGCAAAGTGGTCAAGACCAGGCTGGAGAAACCCACAGAAACAGCTAACCTGAACAAGGGGTTGCTCATTGACCCTAGACTGATAGCTGGGAAACTAGCATATGGCTGTTCCAGACCCCCTGAATGAGGCGGTCAGTTTGGAGGTCTGGTTAATCTATGGGGCCTCTGGTAGTGGATCAGTATTTATCTACAGTACAAGAATGGACTTTGGGAGCCCACTCCGCATAGAGGGATGTTCTCTCAGTCCAGATACAAGGGCGGGGGGAGGTCTAGGCCATGCTCCAAATTTTAAATTCAAAACAAACTTCTTTTACATGTCAATCCCAGTTCCCTCTCCCTTCCCTCCTCCCTTACCCCCTACCACCCCCCTATCCTAACCTCTTTCTACTCCCCAGGGAGGGTGAGGCCTTCCATGGTGGATCTACAAAGTCTGTCATATCATTTGGAGCAGGGCCTTAGACTGCCCCCCCCTATTGTGTCTTGGCTGAGAGAGTATCCTTCTATGTAGAGTGGGCTCCCAAAGTCCATTAGTGTACTGGGGAATAAATACTGACCACTACCAGAGGCTCCATAGACTGCCAAGACCTCCAAACTGACAGCCTTGTTCTCGGGTTCTGAAACAGTCCTATGCTGGTTCACAAATGCTTTTCTAGTGACATTGATCTATTGATGGGAAGTGACCAAGGTGTAAACACACCCAAGTAAGCCCATATTTCCAGGATCACTAGAATGGGAAAGAAGACATGGATTTCCAAGATGAGAGATACACTCATTCTTAGCTCTTTCCTCCTCCTGCATTTATTTATTCTATTCCCACCTTTTCTTTGCCCTTAACTCCCTGTCAGATCATTGTCCTGTGTGATTGTTAATATTGATTGTGAAACAGACAGTATCTAGAATCACTCATGAGAATCCCTTGAGCTTGTGCATGAGGGACTTTCTAGACAGGGTTAGAATGTGCAAACACTTCTTTTAAGTGTGGGCAGTATTGTTGAATAGGTCAGCTCCTGAACTCAATAAAAAGAGAGAGACAGAGAGAGAGACTCACAAAAGGGGCACTCACCTCTGGAACTCACCTCATTCTGCATCCTGCTGTAATCACAATGTGACTGTCCATTACACTCTCCTCTACCACTAAAGCACGAGCAAGAATAAACCCGTTTCCTCCTTCAGTTGCTTTGGTCAGGTGTGTTTTCAGAGCAGGGAGAGAGTTAACAATACTCCAGAAAGGCCTCTCTGGGAGTCCTTACTAATTTCTTAATTCCTTTATCATAGGGCTTGCTCATTTGCTCTCAAGTTTTCTGGTGTTGAAATCGGAGTTGAGATTCCTTATTGTTGTAAATATTATTCCCCACTCTTAACATCCCACTTTGGGGGAATTCTTTGCTCAAATAATCAAATTCTATAACACACTTGCATTATTCAGCAAAACGGGTCTGAAGTCTTGTCCTCAGCATAGCAGTTTTGTAAATTGCACTCAAGGCTGAATTCAAATGTTTCCTGAGTCTTATTAAAGCTTGTCTTTTCTGGGCAGGACACAGTCTATTTGTTCTTGAACATGATTTGGCCTTAAACATCACACTTGAAACATGTATTCTACATATTTATCTGGAGGCCACTAACTTTTTATTTTACAGCAATTCTCAAATGGTTGAAAGATATTCCCAGCGAATCAATGCTTTAACAGAAAATGTGTCTTTTTAAGTTTAATATGTAAAACTTATAGATCACCAATTATAAAAGTTATAGATACAAACATTAAATTTAGATTAATACAGAAATGTATAAATTATAATAAAAAGCACCATTTCCTAGAATTAGGTGAGGTCCGGGATGTGGTGGCCTAGACCTTTTATCCAAGCATGAGGCATGCAGAAGCAGTTTGATCTGAGTTGGAAGCCAGCCTGATCTACAAAGTGAGTTCCAGGACAACAAGGACTAAACAGAGAAAGCCTGTATAAAAAACTGAAAAAAAAATTAGCTTGCTTTCATAGGTACAGTATTTCAACAGGTCATATATACATTTATTTTTCTGGACTTGGATCATATTTCCATAAACAGTATCCTTGGCATCCAGGTTTTCAGGAGTATGGTTCTAGGGAGCTTTTCATAACTGCATCAGTGTTGATGGAGTTTCTTTTTGACATTGATGACCTTGAAGAAGAAAACATTGAGGTTAGATCAGTTGAAATGTAGATGGTTCCACACTTCTGTCTACATTCCTACGAACTAGTCAGCATGAGTCACATCCCCTTTCTCACTCTGGCCTATCTCTATAATAACTCTCTGTCCTTACAGTCAGCTTTCTTCCCTAGTTTAGACTATGAAAATAACTAGTCACTCCTACAGGCTTGAGCACAAAGCTATAGTGGAGAGGAAACTGCTGAGGCACCTGGGCTAAAGACTGAGTTGCAGAGTCTCACTGAACTGCAGGTTGGGTGGAGGGTGAAAAGGCTTTGCTGGTGCAGCTGCCATGGGGAAGGTTTGGAACTTTGCCTGATGGTCTGAGAATGATGATACTGTAAATATCCGGGTGACCCCTTTTATTTCTTCTGTTTCCACTGTAATAGTGGCCTTTAAATAAAAGTGTAGAATGAACCCCACACAGTGTATGAGTATGACAAGGATTGTGGATTTTAGCATATTGTGGTCCGATTCGCTCATGGAAGCCTTGGGAACTTAACAATTTCTGTTCATGATCCTCTGCAACAGAATGTATTTGAATGTTATAGATGAAGACCCCAAGTTCTTTGTGTTTTAGTCTTTGGTAAATTTGAAAAATCAGAGAGTCGGAATTTGAAAGAAACATCTTAACCTGATTCCTACCAAATTTTCTCTTTATTTTGATAAATGAGATGGTTTTTATATTTTAGCTAAACAGATAACAACTTTTTGAGTCTTTCTGAATTTATTTTCTTTATTATGATTTAAAAATCCTTACTTAAAATATAATGGAATAAAGTTTACTAAATATACAAAGATTAATTTGCCCACAGTTGCTGGATTTTCTATGCAATGCCAAAGTCAAATTTTACTAGAATATTAAAAAAATATGATTCTTAGGAAGAATCGTATTTCCCGGAGCACATACCTGCATGTAACTGTGCCTTACAGACTTCAGCTGCCATGTGTCTTCACTTGAGGACAATTCAAAGCAGACAAGTCGAAGTTTATTGCCTGGCTCACACTTGATACTGGTCAGTCGTCCATAGACGACCACTTCCATTTTCCCGGTATCATCTTCTATACCATAGTAAATGAAGTTATTCCTCTCAGTTTTCTGAAAAACAAGTTTACTTTTATCCTTTTGGAAATGTGTCAAAGCTTGTCACATTGATGAGAATAAAGAGTGTCAGCATAAAGCTGTTCCTGACAAGGCAAGTATGACACTCAGGTTTAGAATCACAGGCACAAGGGCCAGTGAGATGGCTCAGGGGGTAAGAGTAATGGTGTTGGCAAGTCTGATTGCCTGGGTCCATTACCAGGACACATGGTAGAAGGACAGAACTTGTTCTTGGATTTTCTCTTCTGACTCCACAATAGTTTCATGGCCTTTGTGTTTCCTCTCAACCCTCCCCGACAATATATAGAAATAACTGAAAAAATAGAATTATAGGAACAAAGGAGATTAAGATGTTTAGGTGAGCACATCGGTTTTTTTTTGGAAATCACTCTGGAGGTTTTGTGAGCCTAGCCTTTAATGACTGAGCCATGAGTGCAGCCCTTAGAAGCCACTGTTAAGTTTTACCTACCTGAAGACTTCATCTACTGGGTGTCTTTAGGACAATGAATGTCTTACTAAATACTAGTGGTAATATATCAGAATAGCTAAGGTTTCCTAAGGCTCACAATCAGAGATCAAAAATAAAAAAAAAAATAAGGAACAAGATCCTTTTAATTACAATTGCAGGTTTCTTAGGTATCTCAGGAGGTCTAACAAGAAAGGCCTCACTGTGAGTCTGAGAAATACTATTATAAGTCTTATTTTTACATTTATTTTAATTTTTATTTAAAATAACATTACTTTCAAAGAACATGTTCTGATCATAGTTTATCCTCCCCTACCTCCTCCTAGATAATCCTCTCCTTCCACCCTTCCAACTCCATACCTCCTCTCTCTCTCTCTCTCTCTCTCTCTCTCTCTCTCTCTCTCTAGAAAACTGACAGGTGAATAGAGAAGACAAACCAGCAAGAATAAAACAGAATGAGGAAACTAGCAAATATAAAAAAGAAACAGAATGAGAAACAAATAGACACACACCTTTTTAAATGGATCACGTTTGCTCAAATCTGATATCAATTCAATCTATTACTTCTTAATATTTCAAAAGTTAAATTTACAGCATTTAGTCCTGGTATTTTAGTTTGTGTTCCACTTAGTTTACTTATTAATTGTGTAACCAATGTAGCAACATAGTCAAAAACAGCATGATGAAAGTAAAAAGCCGTGGCCGATTCATACACAGTGTATTATGAAATCATACATTGAACAAGCATACTAATGAATTGGTGCATTGTTACTTAAACAAACACCAGAAAGTCACAGATTTCCTTTAATATCTTCAATTTCTTTGTGCCTCATTATAAATTGTGATATTAAACCAATCTGTTAATCTCCACGTTCTCTCATTATTTAAAATGTTAGTCATTCCTTCAAAAGATCTTGATAAAAAGAAAAGAATATGATAATGAGAGCACATTAAAGAAATAATCCTAGCATGTTGGACAGGGCTTCATTCTAGTGCAAAATAGTCCATTTGAATTTTTTTTATTGTCATCATCTGTAACTGTATCTAGGCTATGGCTGACTCTGTATTTACAACCGAATTGCCAAGAATATGGGTAAGGAAGCTTTCAAAGTAATAAACTCTGAAAGGAAAGTGTGTTATAAACTGAACAGTGTCTGGGAATAAGATGGCTATAGATGGATTGTCATAGCTGTGAAAATGCTAAAGCTTGTTGATGAATCCCTTTCTAAACAATTTTCATGGTGCTACCTTGAGGAGAAGAATGATTAGAAATTATCCCAATACCCACAGTGAGTAAACCTTAGGCAACTCTTTCTGAAAAGAAGGGCAATTACTTGCTGTGTTAAGTAACCTGAGCAAGTTAAAACCTAAAGTCAGATTGCAGAAGAAATTTTACAAATAATGCAATGGCTTACCGTAAATACCATAAATTCTCCATTCACATATGTTCCTTTTGTTTGTGAGAAAAGATCCTTGATTTTAGGAGTTGCATTGGCTCTTTGCTTCAGTGCATTTGAGATAACCATCGTTTGGTTAACATTCACATCAGACACACAGGCAGCTTTGTGTATCTCCAGAAATCCATTGGCACCAAAATAATCGGATATTGAAATGATCTTTTTTGGAATGAACTTGTCCTTTAGGGTTAGGTCAAAAACCTTCACTCTGAAGAATTCAGTCTCAGTAGCCACTGTGGCATGGAACATCCATAGGTCTTTAATCAAATCATAAGTAAATGGTTCTGTTACTTTCAACACCATCACTTCTTTGGGTCCTTGCTGATGTCCTTCTTCCTTAGAAGGCTCCTTTGGTATGTTCCCTCTCCCTAGTGTCTGCATAAAACACACACATGATAAACATAATTCAGGCAGATCACAATACACAAATCCAATGTGTATAGAGTTGAGGACATCTAAACAACGATTGCCATAATGTGAACTAGATAAAGGAAGAAATGGATATTTACCTACTGATTCCATTTAATACTAATTTTATCTGGTAGATAAAGGGATTATACTTATAGTTGTGGGGAATGAACCTACAGCCTCCAATGCTCTATTCAAGTCTCTTATCTAGGATCATTTTGAAGATTTCAATTACAAAACCTTGACTAAAAAGTCAGAGCTTTCTGGTAAAGGGTTAGGTAGGCATCCCCAGGAAGATTTCCCTTAAATATTGTTAATCAGAAAGGGTTCAGGCCAGCAGCTATTCTTTTTGCATAATAGCAGGCGCGGAGGAGAATCCGGGAACAGATAAAATTCATGAAGTCATTTTAATTTGATCACCTGACTCCTAAGCATCCTATTACATTTCTGAGTATCAGAAGAGTACTTTGGAATGTAAGAACTCTGTAGAACTGAAAGAGGAAAGCATGGTGGCAGTCGTGGCTAACCTGGGTACCAGCACAGAAAGGCAGCTATAACTGAGAGCAGTCTCTGAAATCTGACTTCAAAACAGATAGACTTCACCCTGTGAGTGGTAGGGTTTAACTCAGATTCTTGATATTTGTGTGATAACACCAGGAGGCATATTTCCAGTATAACCGGAGCAGCGATTCAAAATATGAAAACAACACCTTGACAACAACTGCAAGGTGTAAAATTAAATAAGAAAATGTCTCACTATATTCCTTACACGTCAGGTGATCACTGAGTCAGACATTGTCTTAATAGAGTAGAACATACAAAATATTTTCAAGTTGAATGTAGGGAAGGATCAGTAACTATACACAATAAAAATGAATGATTATTTATATAAAATTTTGTGTGCACATAGATTAACTAAGAAGCCTTTCAACTTTGGGCTAATCTCTGTCCTTATATTTTGAGAACAGAAAGTCATTACCCTGTATGGACTGCTCTTTGTCGTTGCTTGAGGCACCAGAGAAGACCGAAGACTGCTGGATGCTGGTGTTGGACACACCCGTGGAGACAGGAGACTGCTGGATGTTGTTGCTGAAGGCATCTGAGGAGCCTGGACATTCCTAGAGGATTTTTCTTTAGGACAAGGAAGGGCCTGCCCACTTCTGGGTGCTACTACTCCTGGAGGCACTTGAGTGGTGCCCACACTCTTAGATCCTGTAACTGGAGGAGCATGAAGAGGATGGGTAAAGTTGGCTGCTGCTCCTGGATGCATTTGAGTGGTCTGGACTCTGCTTGTCTCTATTGGTAGAGGCACCTGAGGAGCTGCAAGACTCTTGGATGTTGGTGGTGGAAGTACCTGAGAAGTCTGGAGACTACTAGCTGTTGTTGCTGGAGATGGCAAAGCCAGGAAATAAATAGGTACAGTGTCTAAGGGACCTGGGACCTTGGTATTCCTGGGTGCTCTTACCGTAGCCCAGTTAAGAGTCTGAATGTCGCTTGATGGTGCTCTTAGAGGCACCTGAGTGGTGCAGGCATTTCTGGACACTGCTTCAGGGAGTGTGTGGGGAACCTGCACATTGATGGAGGCTGTTGCTGGAGATGTCGTTATGTCCTGGGCTTTTCTTTTCAATGTTGCAGAAGGAACTCTAGGGGTTTGGACACTTCTGGGTGCTAATATTTGAGAACTGGGAGGAGCCTGCATGCTATTGAAGGCTACTGCGGTAGGTGGGCAAAGATTCTGGGTACTGCTGGGCACTGATACTGGAGACATTTGAGGAGCATTGAGAGAGCTGGACACTGTTTCTGAAGGCATGTGAGGGACCCCCACACTACTGGATGGTGTTGCTGAAGATACACTAGGAGCTTGGACAGCACTGGACAGTGTTAGAGGCACAGGAAAGTTCTGGTGCATGCTGGAGTTTGATGCTGGAGATATTGGAAAAGTCAGGCTAGGTGGTCCTGGAGAACCATGAGACTTTTTTGAAGTGAAGCCTGTTAATGGAGGTGCACAAGGAGTCTTGATGCTTCTAGAAGCTGTTGATGAAAGTCCCTGAGGAGACTGCAGTTCACTGGCAGCTGAGGAGATGTCATTTGCTGACAATTCTTGAAGCTGGTGTTTTTTCTGGGGAACTTCTGTGGTTATAGTACTATGATTTTTGATGCCTGTGTTTTTCTGTTTCTAAAGCAAATTAGGATTGAGATATTGTTTAATACAGTTTAATGGTTTTTTAAAAGAATGCCAAGAATATCTTTTTACTGTCTCTTCTGAAAAGATTAATTTTACCCTGTCAGCTTTCTCCTGGGATGAAGGAAGCATTTTAGAACATACTGAAGTATTTCTAACACCTAGCTTCCACCCTTCCTAATAGACATAGACATTACAACTTCTCTAACAAGCTAGGTGCTGAATTTTCATTGGTCTGAGACAGGATACTAGCTGAAAATATCTTACAAAACTGGTCAAATATTATTTGGTTTGGTTCAACTCTTAGTTATTTTCTGGGAAATGAAGTTTATAGTAAAATTGGCTATTTCTGTACTTTTCTTCATGTAAACTTTCTAATCCATCAACTATTCAATCCTTATTTTGCATACAGGGAGCCCATCCCCCCACAAACACTTTCAGGTGATGTGACTGAAATTGTGTGACAGGTACTATAAAAAAGTGGATTTTGGTGGAAGGGGATGCAGCTCAGTTGGTAGAGGGCTGGACTAGCATGCCTGAAGCCCATTTGGATTCATTTAAACCTTTGTTTAGGTTTTTAAAATTGCCATAATTCCAGTTAAACAAAACTTTTACACATGTGAGAAATCCTTGTGCTTCAGGCAACAGATCTAGTTATGGTCTTCATCACACTTTTATAATCTTAGAACTATAAAATTTTAAAGATTATAAATTTTCCTTTAAAAGTGAAGTTAGTATGCAAACACATTTGTGTAAGTGAATTGGCCCTTTTATTCCTGTTATCTTTTTATGTTTTTGATTGCTCAAGGTAAAAGTCTCCTAAAATGCAAAAACTGCTATGAAGCTAATGCCATTCAAGTTAGAATTATCATTAACTGTAAACTATTTTCCAAGATTGTGTACATTTTGAATTATATTGTTGTCATCATTTATAAAAACACTTAATTAGATGTGGCTAAGGAATTACCATGCTAAATAATGGGACTCAACCATTTATAAAGACTAAATGCTAGGCACATCTAGTATTCAACACAATTGCACTGTGTAGTAAAATAAGATTTGTGTAAATTCCAGTCGGGATTTCAACATACTTGCCTGATTAGTGGAGGGTATATGTGTATACTAGGGTATGAGAGTAGATGAGGAGTTATTTCAAGGTTATGGTCATTGTAATTATATTAAGAAGGCATGGAAATGGGGACAGGATGTTGTTCCCTTTGATGAGGAATGGCTGGAAAGGTTTAGTCTATGCCTGGAAGGATCTGAAGGTGATTCTCAGCAAAAGTGACCATTACAGTTATACAGTACTTGGTTAGTGAGTGGACAGGGATAAAGACTTCCAAGCGGGGAAATAGCATGTGTCAAAACACCTGCAGAATAGAAAACAGAATGGTGACAATAACATCTGAAGTTAGATCACTAGCGAAGGGTAAAGGACTGAGAAGAAACTGGGCAATAGGGATTGATACAGTTTTCTGTTTACCCTTGTTAGTCTAACCAGTACTTTCTTCTGAACCCTAAGCAGAAAGTTTGTTGTTAACAATAGAAATCATTTCATAAATACTTACCTTTTCAGTCCCATGGAGGCTGTGATACTTGGTTAGATAACTTAACGAACTATTTAATAATATAAGGATAATCTTTGTAATTGGTAACCATTGAGATATATTTCCAAGATTGTGGAGAGTCCAGTGATATGCTTGGGAAGGGGCAAGTCCTGGGAATAGGAAAGTGGTACCTTGTTTGTGGAACTGCTGGATGGTGTTGGTGGAGGCTTTTGAGGAGGCTGGAGCCATCCTTGATCTGTTTGTGTGCTGCCTTGTGAAGGTTCTGGAAGTTGAGTTGTCTCCTGGGTGAGCTTCTTTTTATTGCCACCTTCAGATTTTGTGGGTATTTTTCTCTTTTTCTGAAAGAACCATGTTTATTTTTCTTTATTGACTTTCCCATGTGTGGGAAATTGAATCGCTGGCTTTATACATGCAAAGCAGTAGTTTTCTATACAGTTTTATCCCCAGGCCTAAAAATGTCATTAGTACTAAGCAAAGAAGAATATTTACATGACCACAAGAATATTTCTTTTATTACTGGATTCTAATTATATTTGTGTAACCTCATTCTTAAAATCTGGATTGCATAGTGTGGATGTTTGAATAATAATGTCCTGCATAGACTCACAGAAGTGACCAACAATGCTTGGTCACCAGGGATTGTCAGCATTAGGATGTGGGTCCTTGTTGGAGTAGGTGTACTTTGTTGGAGGAAGTGTGTCTCTGAGGTTTCAGATGCTTAAGCCAGGACCAGTGTGTCTCTATCTTCCTGCTGCTTGGAGATCAAGATGTAGAACTGTGGACTACCTCTCTAGCACAATGTCTGCCTGAATGCTGCCATGCTTCTCTCCATGACAATAATTGACCAAAACTCTGAATACAAGGAAGTCTCAATTAAATTTGTCTTTTGATAAGAGATGGTATAGTCATGGCATCTCTTCAAAGCAATATAAACCCTAATTCAGAGATATGTGATTGTCTTGTAGAGGAGTAGAAAAATCACATCTATCTCACCCTATTTATCCCTGTGGTGTTCAAAAGTATTTGGTGTAGAATTACAAGCATCATATTAGGTTTTCTGTTTGTAAATCCAGGTCACAAGCTACTGATATTTCAGTAAATGGTCTTCAAAAAGCCACATAGGGATTGTGTGTTTGCATCATGGGGGGTTACACTGTACTAATTAGATCACACGGTAAATCTGGCACAAAGTGAATGAACTTGCTGACTTATAACCCTGTTCTCACTAGGACCTTGGACTAAACAGATAGAGTACGACATCTTTCTAAGGAATTAAGAAGGTAAGGAACTCGAGTAGAAACTTTTTGGTGGGAGATTGGGCACTTTACCTTTAAAGAGTCTTTATTATTGTTGGCGTCATCATCAGTGGGAAGAGATTGGGAACTACTGGGTTCATCTTGCTTTGCTTTTTTCACTGCAGTCTTAGTTTTTTCTTTCTTTTGCTTTTTAACTACAGGGATGAAGAAAACACAATAAATCCAGGGAAATGGTTAAGATGGCTGAACCTCATTCAGAATTATTTCATTTTCTTTGTAAAAACTGAAATTAGTAATTTATTCCATTTTCATTAGCGATTTTACAGAAAGTCAGTGATTTCATGTTGATTTTAACAAAACTCAATCCTTCAATTTTACCAATGTAGACTCAGGAGCCAGATGTTTGAGTGAAAGCCTAGTAGCTCACAGAGCCATAGTAAACACCCAGCTGACCTTCCTATTTCACTGGTGTCCCATAAACCCCCTTTTCCTATACTGTCTCAAAGCAAAATCTCTCAAACCCAGTGTCCCTCACTTCTACTTCCTGTCCTTCTCTCTCACCATCCTCCTGGCTTCCTCTTGCTCTCTGTTTTTCCTTAGTAATCATATGTTCACTTCCTGTCAGCTGGTTGCTTGCTCTGCCTCTTGACCTAGGGTTGACATTATTTAATCCTCTTTACAATACTCAAGCAGAAATCTGTTGGCTTAAGTGTGTGAGCTAGGGCTGAACCCGACCAAACCTAGAAAGATTTTTTTCCAGGTAAATAATGTAATCTCTGGGTGTACAATGTGATCAAATATCCTGCCACACTTTCAAGAACTATTTCTTCTGTACTCGTGTCTGTGTGTTCAGCTTCTCCATCTTGGGAAGTTCTGTTTTTGTCAGTACAGACCTGACACATTCATCTTATCCCCCAGACTGATTTAAAAAACATGATAATTTTATGATAATAGCAATAAGTCAACTTCTAAGCAGTATCATTCCCAGTCATAGAAAAAGAGAAACAATTTTTATTTGATATTTGATGTAACCAAATAATAGCATTGGAGTTTTACTTCTATATTGGGAATATATCTTTCTACATAATTCAGGGTATTCTTAATCTGCAGGTCTCCTTGAATAAGCCTCCTTGTGCTAGATTCTCAGGTCAGAGTTGTGTAACATTATGCCCAATATTTTTTAAAACCAGTGTCTTTATAAAGACAACCTTCTTCACATCTCTAAAGTACAGACTTCTACTTAAATATTAGATCACATTTCTTACCAAAAAAGGAATTAATGAAAGGGCAATATTTTTAAGCATGTGTTAGTTTGCTCTATTTAAAAGCTTTAAATGATTTTTTAAAAAGTTTACTTTATCCTTTTTTAGTTTTTCTATCATGTTGGGTATTCTAATCTCTCTTGACAACTGATATTTATTTTATTTACATCCAAAGCAAAAGATGTCTACCAGAAATATATCACATTTCTTTATAAGAAGGGATTTCTCAAAATCATTTTGTTGACATCTGAAAGCTTCCACTCCTATAGTTTCTACATCATACAATGGGAAAGAGACCTATCATCTCTGTTTACTGCAGGAAGCTAGAAAATTTGGGGTGGGGAGAGAGCAGAGAAGGGATGAGTCTCCTGTGTGCTCCCTTGTTACCTTTTGCCTTCTCTTTTTTAAGCTTTTTAGCAAGGTCTTCAAGTTCTTTAATGCCTTCACAGACTTTTATCAGTTTGTCCAGTCCAGCATCTTGTGGGAATGTGTCCTCCATTATGTCAGCCACCTGAATTCTGTCATATTCATCTTGCAATTTTTTAGTTAGATTTAGTTCTTTTCTTAATAAGGACTTGATTGTTCTAAAATGGTAGTCATCCATGACCTCAAATCCTTTTAAGAGAACAATTTTCTTGTATTCACTCATTATATATAAAACTATGGACAATCCTAAAAGAAGAAAATGGACATAATATTACACATATATACAGACAATTCCAAAATATGGGCATTCTGCATTCTTTTTTCTTTTCTTTTCTTCTTTTTTTCTTTTTTTTCTTTTTTCTTTTTTTTTTTTTTGGTTTTTCGAGACAGGGTTTCTCTGTGTAGCTTTTGCAGCCTATCTTGGCACTCACTCTGGAGACCAGGCTGGCCTCAAACTCACAGAGATCCGCCTGCCTCTACCTCCCGAGTTCTGAGATTAAAAGCATGTACCACCAATGCCTGGCTAAAATATGGGCATTCTTGTGTGAATGAATGACCCCACTTGACCATATTGTCCATAATGGCAGGTGGGAGAAAAACAGAGTTCAATATAAGCTGTGCTGCAGTGCAAGATGGATGCAGAGCTTCTGTCTTAGTAAACAAGTTTAGGAAATCCTTCCCCATTAGTCACTGAAGGTGACTTAGGCCAGTGGCAGCTGCAGCAGATGAAAAGTGATGGAGTCAGTAATTGTTGCAGTGTTCATAGTCTAGTCTATGATTATTGAAATCTTGTGTCCCTTTCCATCCTTATTTGGTGCTGGAGCCTGTTCCTGGGTATCTGCATGTGGGTTTCTGGTTTGTCTCATTCTTAAGTGCTCTATATGCTAATGGACTGCATCTTACTACAGTGTACCTGGATGAACAATTGCTGAAGTAACACGGCCCATGCTGAGCCACTGAACCTTGTCCACTAGGCTTCCCCTCAAACACCACCTCATTTTAAAATCACGCTCTCCTGGGCTTGTGATCTTTGGGTCCTTTGTGCTCATGTCACTGTCAATTTCCCAAACATCTACATACATTCCAGAGAAGCACCCCAGAATTTATTGGGTGGAATTGTGTCAGTAGCTTCTTGTTTTTATCTTTTCAGCCTTGACTTAGTGATTCTTATTTGTTCATAGACACAGTTTTCTACCTACAAGTTGTACCATGAATTCTAGTTGTTCTTAATAGTAAAAACTCAGAGTCAGCTATCAGGGGATGAAAATTGTAGGATCAGAGAAGAAAAGCAGGCAGCCACTACAGAGTTTTTTACCTCTATGAATGCTCAGACCAAAAGAGTGATCCTCGGGATGCTTCCTCAGACTGCTTCAGATTACCTGCTTCAATTTATGCCCACTAGATTCTGGATTATCAATATATGTTCAGCCTCACTGCTAAAAAGCTAAACACTTTAAATGTTAAGTCTCTTTAAAATGCCTAAAGTATCCCCCAAATTTCAAAGCGTCCACTCTAAAATATCCAAAGTCTCTCTAAAGTTCCAAAATCTTTAAAATTCAACATATCTCAACTCTGAACTATTGCAAAATAAAAAAGTTAAATACCTTCTTATTCTAAAAGAGGAAAACCAGGTCATAATTATATTCAAACCACAGCAAAATCAAAATTCAAGAGTGTAGAAAGATTCTCTGGGCTCTAAGGGAACTTGGCAGCTCCATTTCTCCTCCTCTTCCATCCAAACACATACAGTGATTCTCCTATGCTTAGGCTACCTCTCTCCACACCTGCTACTGTCCTTGGCGGACATCCCATGGTACTGACATCTCAGAAATTCTGGAGTTCCAAATGCACCTGGGCTGTATCTTCACCAATGGAGTTTCATGGCCTTTCACAGTGACAAACCTCAGCTATTCCCCATGACCCCTTCATGCCTCCAAAACAGTGGCAACTGGGTGAGTCTTTCACATTACAAGTTTGGTTGTCAGCACAAGGCACAGCCTTGTCCCCTTCTGGACCACAAATTCAAATTCTATGTACTGATGGTGAGAAGAACCCTTCTTGATCACAGCCAATTCTTGAGTCCCAGCTGACCAGAACCACAGATTTGAAATTCAAAATATTGAGTGGTCTCAGTAGATTCTTTAGGGGATTCTCTGCTTTCCCTCTGAAATTTTCAAGCCAGACCTGTACCATCTGCACTGTCCTCTGTAAGTTCCCACAATAGTTCATCAACCTTTAAACACTCAATAGCTTTTATATCTCAAAGTTACAAATTTCTTAATCCTTCCTAAAACACAGAGTAAGGTATATCACAATAACATCCTAGAAACCCAGTTCCATTTTCTGTCTTAGTTATAGGTTCTATTGCTCTGACAAAACACAATTACTCAAAAACCAATTTGAGAAGAAAGGGGTTCATGTCATTTTATATTCCACATCACAACCCTTTATTGACGTTATTGACGGAAGTCAGAGCAGGAATTTGAGGCTGGAACTTGGAGGCAGGAACCAAAGCAGAAGCCGTGAGGAATACTGATTACTTGCTCGATCCTCAAGGCTTGTTCAGCATTCAGGAACACCTGCACAGGAATGGCACTGCCCCCAGTGGGCTACACACTCACATCAATCAGTAATCAAGAATATGCCCTACACATTTTCCTACAGGCAATTTTGAAGAAAGCATTTTCTCAACTCAGGTATCTCTAGATAATTTTATTTTGGATCAAGATGATAAAAAGCAACCAGAACACACACTTGTAAAGAGATAATATTTTAAATGATGGATTTATATACCAGTAATTGTGTATGGTATTTCTTAGTATTTTGTGTCTCTTCATAGAGCCATAAGTAGCAATATAGAATGTGTTTTGTTCCAAATGCACACAGATGTACACATATCCTCTTTATGTGTATGTAAGAGAGGATACTCATCTGTGAATTTCAGAAAACACACACAATATTTTGATAGATACAGAAGTATGTTTTTCAAATAGTAAATTAACAAGGTATAAAATTCTTCAAAAAGTTTGGAATATTTGAGAAACATAAATGATACAGCAAGAGAGATAACCTTACATAAAAATACATCTGCAGTCAACTTCTAAAATACTTTGTTCAAGTACACATTAAAAACTCTAAAGAGCCGGACATTAGAGGCACATGCCTTCAATCCCAGCACTCAGGAGGCAGAGGCAGGAAGATCTCTGTGTGTTCGAGGCCAGCCTGGTCAACAAAGCAATTTCCAAGACAAGCTCCAAAGCAATCTAGAGAAACCCTGTCTTGACTCCCCACCCCTGACCAAAAAAGTGGCAATCCCTACTTGAGAGAAACACAGGCTTAAAGAACTGGCCAGGGAGAGATCCTTAAAATTCTTACAATGTCTCTATTTCTAATAGTAAAGCATTACAGCATTTCAATCATGTCAGACAAACAAAAAAATTCTAAAGTATATATGGGAAGCCTTTAAAATATTCTAAAAGTAGGCAATAGAGATATATTTCTAATTAACTCTCCCATCAGCACCCAGCATTTTCAACCAGAAAATAAAAAACAATTCCAAACAAGCTAAAACTAAAAAAAAAAAAAAAAAATACTTTCAATATAACAGTACCTACCTCACTATGGTTGAGATACTGTGGATAAAAAGACAATGATAAGTTTATTTGTGGATGATCAAAAAAAGATGGACTTGAATAACTGTGGCAATCTGTGGAACTTGGAACTATGCATGTCCATTGTTTCTCAACCTGTGCAATATCAGAATACGAGAGTGCTGCTCCATGTCATTACATATTTTCACTAAATACTATTTCATAGCAATCATTTAATTTCACTACCTTAACCTTTTCCCCAGCCAATCATCAAACCCAACAAGTTCCTTCTCTCTCTCCAGCCAAGATAACTAAAGCCTTCTCATTTCCCATTTCCTCATACTTACATTTAGAAAGCTACTTTATTATTTTTCATAACCAAAATGTGTTTTTGTTGGTTAGACCCCAGAAAGGGTGGAATAAATATGTCTGCCATCTTCCCTAGTGAAGCATCATAAACTAGCTGCTGTGGGTTCACTGCTCTGAGAGCAGCTGACACCAGCCCTGAACCCTCCACTCTCCTCGAAGAAAGCCTTTCTAATTTCCTCTGTTCCCTAATGAGTTCCCACAGAGCTCTTAACTCTACATAGCCGGGGCAGGACTCACCTTCTTGGAAATTTCCACAGCAGTGTCCAGATGCTAGTTTATCTGCAAGGCAAGAAACAGAGATAGTTTCTATTGAATAAGAAGATAAATGAATAAATCTCTCAGATTCTGGACAGTGATGTTGCAATCCCTGAAGTTGCAAGAAGTGCAAGTAGTTTAAAAGCCGGAAGTATCACACTGGTGAGCGTCATTTCCCTTTACTTCAAGTTGTGTAGCTCTGAGTGTCTTGCACGGTGCTCTGCCTGGGGAGAGGAAGACTGCAAAAGACAGGCCTCCTTCCATTGTTCTTAGCTTTTGGTGTGGCTCCTGGCTAGTGAGATTGAAAGGTTTCCATGTTGTATGCACTTCGTTACAATGAAACAAAGGTCCACTGGGCTCAGTTGTTTTCCTTCCATGTCTTCATATGAGGATGTTACAACCTTAAGCCTTCCTGTTCAACAGATTTACCCGTGGTAAGAATCACATTCCTTTGAATAAAAGTAATTTCTAAATGGGAAAGTGTGAGCCAACCAGACACTTCTTTTCCACTCAGTTTGGATGCTGCAGGAGGAGAATTCAGTGTCTATTACCACAAAGAACTGAATGTCTTTCCTGGGTTGAGGAATATCTCTGATGCAGGTACTTTGGGTTTAATCACTTAATAATGCATTTTCTTATTTTTCAATAGTTCCTAAGCCAGAAGATTGTTCAAGCAGAATGCTGCACATTTAGCCTTCAAGTAATAGAAAGGAATTTGACATTAGCTGCTTCTCTCTGGACTACAGTGAAGCTCTGCTTTCTTATGTGGCCAAGTTAATGAATCCACAGTGTCTCTGCATTATTTACGGATAAACATAATAGGTAGTGGGCCTATTTAATGACAATATGGAAACCTCAAAAATGGGAAGTTCTAAACTTGTACTCAGACCAAAGTCCTGAAATATCCTTGTCCTTCTGTGCTATTCTGTGAAGGAAAATAGGGAGTCCCTGTTATGTTGTAATTTTGAGATTTTTTTTTTGTGATATGGGAGCCTCTGAATTCATTCAACCAAGAATTTGGATTTATACCTCTGGATTTTGGTTTTGCCTATATCTTACTGTTCCAATGTCCAGATACTTCCCTTTTGGAATCAGAAAGTATGTGCCTCACTTTTTATTTTACTGGAGTCTAAAAGTACATTTAGGATTTTAAAGAGACTTTGGATTTCTATAACGTGTTGAAAAATTTGAGGAATATGGAACTTTAAAACATTGAACTGCATTTAATACTGTATTGGCATGAGACTCTTAGGGAACAATGAAGGAGAACTATGATTTAAGAGTGATGCTTTCAAGTGAGAATAGAGCACTATGGTTAAGTGCAGCTGGAGAGTGTGGGGGCAGAATAGTGGAGGGAATATGTAATTAGAATAGCTAATTCTAAAGAGCTTTCAAAATGTCTTATGGAAACTACTACCGTATATACTTTATAAAATAAACACATATTCGTATAAGAAAGTGCTTAAATGAAGTATGTTCCATATAATGAGTAACAACGATCCTTCTAGAAATCAATTACTAACAAACAAAAATCCTAGTGTCAGGAATAGGTTACTTTGGAGTTGTTGATTGCTGAGGTCCCTTAACATCTCCCCAAACACACACACACACACACACACACACACACACACACACACACACATACACACCCCAAGCTATTGCCACTGCTCTTGGTTTCCTTCCAGATCTTGATAGAGACACCACATACATGTGATCACAGAACATGGAGACTCATCAGCTGCTACTGACCTTGAAGCTACATTCCCACTTGCTAGTTCTATGGGGCTGGAAGGTGCTATGCATGCTACCAGCACAGAAAAGTAATCTCCAATCTTACCCCTTCTTTGTGGGAATCCTTGAAGAAGACGAGGAAGAAATAATTGAAGAGCCAGAGGTGGTGAATGACTACAGGGACATGGTGTTTGCCAAACACAATGGCGCATGTATGATCATGTGAACTCAGAGCTTTTGTGGCAACATAATAAGTTTAAGCCAGACTAAATCCAAGCAAGCAGTGAGAGGGAGTGGACACAAAGTCCCATAACCAGCTAAGGAGTTTTTGGCACTTGATAGTTGCTGGGAGGTGGAGAATCATTCTTATTAAAGGCATGGGCCATGGTTGGTTGATCACAAACTGTACTTGGTGAGTTTTAATGATAAAGGAAGATAGAGAGTTGGATGGGTAAGAAGGTGAGTATGTATCTGAAAGGAGTTGTGGGGGGTGAATATGAGCAAAATACAGTGTGTTAATCTCTCAAAGAACTAAAAAGTGAGAAAGGAATCAAATACAGTTCTTTCTTAATGCAAACTAAAAACTTTATTAGGCACACATAAAGACTTGGTAGAAAAAATAAAGACCTAATTTTTAAAAATGTGAAAAAGGAAGTGCATAACATGGTCGGGGAACTGGTGAAAGACGATATACAGATTGTTGGTGTAAGATGGAGACATCCCACAGTGAAATGGCCGTAACAGAAGCAGAACAAAAACCTGCTGATTACCAGACCACAGCAAAGGACCTAAGCAGTCCAATAACAACTTCTGCGAAATGTTATTTAAGATATGTACTCTTAGGTTGTTAATCAAACATTCTTTAACAGTGGAGAAATACAAAATTAACTAGAAACTAAAAACAATCTTGTTTGTCTACATTAGTGGAGCCTTAATAGTATTGAAGGTAGAAACTCTTATCAAATACCAAAGTATGATAAGCCTTCCCATCCTAGAAGGAGGTAATAGTTTTAATTATGGATTTACCTACTAATAATTGTGCATTCTATTTGTTATTATTTTGTTCCTTCACATCTCTGTAAAATCATGCAATATGTTTTGACACAAGTGTACACACACACACACACACACACACACACACACATACACACACAGTATACATTCAATGTCTTTGAGAGCACACATATCCATTCATTTGAAAAAAATCAAAAGGAGAAACCACAGTCAGTGTATCAGTTACTGAATGAATAAGGTGAAAACATCTGTAAAATGATTTAGAAAGTTTGAGCAACATAATTGATAAACATAGCAAGATGTGTCTAATACAGGTACAACTCCCAAACTGACTATTGAGGTATGTAGTCCAAATGCACATGGAATACTATGAGTAGGGCAAGAAAGCCTTCAAATCATTGTAAAAACAAACAATAGAAATACATTTCTATTTAATTATACTTTATATCCCCTGCATCTTATGACATAAACCCAAAACTAGAAAAATATAGCCAATGAAAAAGAACGACTTTCATGATGACAGAATTTTTTCCCAGTGACTAAATATTATTTTTACTATCCTGTGTGAAGGAGAGAAAAAGAAACTACTAAATATGCTTAAAAAACAGAATGTATTTGAACAACTATGTTTGTGAATCTTAGAAAAATTTTACTACACATGTCCGCTGGCTTTCATGCTGTGTATTATTAGGATATTACTAGATAACAAAGCTCCATGTGCAGATGTATTTTCCACTCAATTATTTCATGGTAATTTTTCATGTCCTTAGCTTGTCCTTTACTCAGTCACAGGCTACAGCCACCCAGTTTCAGCTAACTCTCCAGCCAAGATAACTAAAACCTTCTTATATTTTTCTATGTATTCATACTTAGAAAGTTTATTTTACAGTATGTAATAATCAAAATGCATCTTTTCTTGCCTCAAATCCCAGAGATAGAATAATAATGATGTCTTCCATCTTCATGCATGGATCATTAAAAACTAGCTACAGGGTTTCACTGTCTTTAAGGCAGCTGGAACCATCCCTGCTCCCCCCCACCCCCCCACTGGAAGAACCACTACTGATCCCTCCTGTTCCTGTGGGTTTCACAGAGCTATCTATTTCTTACATAAGGACTTACCTTGCCAGAAATTTCTCAGCAGTGTTTAGATTGTAGATCCTCAGCAAGGCAGGAAATGGGCTTGTCTATCTTTTGTAGGTAGAAAAACCCACAAAAAGTACACACCAGGGTGTTGGAATCTCATTAAATGCTGAGAAAATGTGGTATTTACAGAATAACGGGGAAGAGAAGGAAACTGGTTAAACTAAGTTCCTAACTTGAACAATGCTTAATGTCTTACCCCGTGCTATCTCTCTGGGGAGAGCTGTGATGAAACAGGACTCCTCCCAGCAGTGTTCATAGCTTTCGATTTCCCCAGCTTTTCCACTAGAACAGTATGTTTCCTGTTAATAATGTAGTTTCCAGGAAAAAAACAAAACAAAATACAAAAATAGAGCTTTTCTTTACTCAGTTTTTTTCTCTTATAAATATAAGAAGGCACAAATCCCAACCCTGAGCCTTCTTATGCAACAGATTTAAATGTGAGTCACTGGGAATCTTATACTCGTTTGAATAAAGGTGAAATCACTAAGAGATGAAAGTGTCTCAGTCAGCCATCTCACCTTCCTTTTCTGTTCAGGATGGAAGCAGTCAGGGAAACTTGTTAGATTCCTCTGTTCCTTGTACTTGCTTGCACACTTCCTAGGTAGGGAAAGATCTGTGTTGAATCACTTTTGGGTTAAATTCTTTCCATAGCACTCCTTAATTTATTAATGGTTCCCAGGGCCTAGCTTTCCAGAGCATAATTTTACAAGAAACACATAACTCCAAATTAAGCTAATTAGAAAGTAATTTGCCATTAACTACTGTCTGTATTGTAAGTAAGCTGTCTTCTTTCAGTCTAAGATAATGACCCCTTAGGCATCCATTATGGGAAAACACAATCAATCACAGGCTTTCTATGTCACACTGAACTGAACTATCTACATAACACTGGCAATACTGAAGTCTTGATAACTTATGGAAAAGCTATGAGGCTTCAGAACCTAAAACAATTCATGTTAAGGATAGCGGATGGTGTAGGGAGACACCGTAACCATGCCTCCTAAGGGCTGGCTACAGGTGTGCTTAACCACACCTGTCAGGGCGTGGTCAGGTGGTGTTCAGGATGACGCATGGGGGGTTTCTGAGGTGCGGGAGACATGTGGGAGCTCTCTCTCTCTGGCCTCCCTAGCTTGCTGCCTCTGGGTATGCTCTGGCTTGTGCTTGGCTGGTATTATCTGAATAAAAATATCTTAACCTACGGCCTCACACCTCAGGATGGTGTCTGTACTATTGTTACACCAAGGCTTGGAACAAATGACACCAAGCAGTGGAAGCTAGTTTGAGAGCTTTAACATTAACCCAAAAATAGAGTAATGCCATGAATTGTGGTAGTAGAAATGGTAATAATCAATGGTAATGCCATCATCTGGCAGGGGTCCATTTATTTGCCTGTGTAGAAAAGATGAATGTACATTTTCTAAATGCTGGTGTTTGGCAGCTCTTGTATCCCTCTGTATTTCACAGTCCATGAGGTTGGGAAAACTTTCATTTTCTGATATCTTCTTCAAATTCTTTCATTGTGCAAATGTTTCCCTTCCTTGGTTATTGCATTCATTGTAATTTTTAGCCTGTTTTGAATAGGATTATTTCCTTCTTATGTTTGGTATTCTTAATATGTTTGTCAATTTTATACAGGAAATCTACTGATTTATTTATTTTACATAACAACCACAGTTTCCCCTCCTTCCTCTCCTCCTGTTCCCTCCCCTCCCTTCTATCCTCCCCTGTCCACCCCTCCTCTGTCTCCATTCAAAATGGGTAAAGCCCCCCATGGAAGGCCACAACAAAGCATGGCTTTTCAAGTTGAGGCAAGACCAAGCCCTCCCCCCTCCCTCGTATCAGAGGGAATAGGTTCCAAAGAGCCAGATCATAATCAGGGACATGTTGTACTCCCACTGCTAGGGGCCCCACAAAAGACCAAGCTACACAACTGTCACTCACATGCAGAGGACTAGGCCAGTCTGATGCTGACGCCTTGGCTATTGATCCAGAGTCTGTGAGCTCCTGCAAACTCAGCTGTTCTCTGTGGATTTCCCATCATGATCTTGACCCCCCCTGCTCACATAATCCTTCCTCCCTCTCTTCAACTGGACTCCTGGAGCTCAGCACAGTGCTTGGCTGTGGATCTCTGCATTTGCTTTCATCAGGTACTGGATGAAGGCTCTGTGATGACAATTAGGGTAGTCATCATTCTGATTACAGAGGAAGGCCAGTTCAGGCACCCTCTTCACTATTGCTAGGAATCTTAGCTAGGGTTGTCCTTCTGGATTCCTGGGTATTTCCCTGGCACCAGGTTTAATCCTAACCCCATAATGGGCCCCTCTGTCAAGATTTCTCTTTCATTATTCTCCCCATCTGTTCTGTCCCCAACTCTGCCAATCTAAACCCTCATGTTTCCATCACCCCATTCCCTACCCTTTTCTTTCCCACCCCCAATTTACCTAGGACATCTCATCTATTTCCTCTTTCTAGGGAGATCCATATATGCCTCTGAAAGTCCTCGTTACTAAGCTTCTTTGGGGCTGAGGAATTTAGCCTGGTTATCTTTTGCTTTATATCTAATATCCACTTATGTGTGAATACAAACTGTGTTTGTCTTTCTGGCTCTGCATTACCTCACTCAGTATGACTTTTTCTAGTTCCATTCATTTGCCTACAAATTTCATGATGTTATTGGGGTTTTTGTTTGTTTGTTTGTTTGTTTGTTTGTTTTCACCGAGTAATACACTTGGGTAGATGTACCATATTTTCTTTATCCATTTTCAGTTGAGGGGCATTTAGGTTCTTTCCAGGTTCTAGCTATTATGAATAATGCTACTATGAATATAGTTGAGCAATTGTCCTTGGTATGATTGAGCATCCTTTGGATATATATGCCCAAGAGTGGTATTGCTGGGTCTTGAGGAAGATTGATTCTCAATTTTCTGAGAAACCACCATAATAAAGAAATCTACTGATTTTTATGAGTTACTTTTTTATTCTTCTATTTTCTGAATGTTTTTATCAGCTATAGGAGATTTCTGGTGAGGTCTTTGGCGTCTTAAATAGAGTATCATCTGAAAACAATGATACTTTGAATTCTTTTTTTCCCTTTTATTGAAAAGTTTTCCCCACTAATTTTATTTTATTTTACTACCAGTTTTATTTGGTTGTACTCCAGGTCCCTGGACTATCTAATCTCTGGTTCTTGGTCACCTAAGCAGTGTCAGGTATGGCTTCCAATTTGTAGAGTGGACCTTAATTCATATCAGATATTGGTTGGTTATTCCCACAAGCTTTTCACTATCATTGCATTAACTTATCTGCTGGTTTGTCTTGTCCAACTTCAATGTGATAATTTCCATTTTATCCTATTATAGTTTAGTTTTATATTTTAGGAATAATGGAAAAGGGAAATAGATTTTTTTCATATAATATATTCTGATTATATCCCTTCCCAATTCTCCAATTCCTCCTCACCCATCCAAATCAATTCCCTCTTCCTGTAGTCTAGCCAGAAAATGAACAGACATCTAAAGAATGATAATAAAATAAAATGCCACACAATAAATTAAGAATAAACAAATTGAACTATGACAAAATAACTAAACAATAAAAAAAGCCAAAGAAAACGTGAAAGAAACACAGACACTGAGACACACACAGGAATTCCCTTAAAAAAAAAAAAACCCAAATCCATAAAGTGTGGAAAAGAACTGTAAGACAAAACAAACAAAAAATCGTGACTTAAAAATATGAGACAAAAATGTTGTTTGTTTTATGTTCCCCATCTACTGCTGGGCATGGGCACTACCCTTAGGGATGGCTAGAATATAGAATGTACAAAGAACACAGAAAATGTAACATCAACAACACGAATAACCCAATTAGAAATGTATGATAAAATCCAAATAATTGAGAAATACTTTTAAACATGTTCAACATCCTGTGAAAATGCTAATTAAAGCTTCTTTGAGATTTAGTCAGAAGTCTAAATTAAAAAAAAATAAGTTGGCAAATGCTGGAATGGATGTTGAGAAGGGGAAACACTCTTTGCTGTCAGCATTGCAAGCTAATGAAATGTCTACAAATCAGTGTGTAGGTTCCTCAGAAAAGCTACCACATATCCATCAATACCACTTAGGCATATCTGCTAAGGTCTGTGTCCTACTCTAAAGATACTTTTCATCCATTTCATTACTGCAGTCCATTCACAATAGCCAGGAAATGGAAATATCCTAGGTGTTAGTCAACTGATGAATGGATAATGAAAATGTGGTACATTTACGTAGTAGAGTATTATTCAGTTGTTAAGAAAAATGAAATGACCAGCCTGGTCTGCAAGAGCTAGTTCCAGGACATCCTTCAAAGCCACAGAGAAACCCTGTCTCGAAAAAAAAAAAGAAAAGAAAAAATGAAATGATGAAACTTGTACATAAATTGGTGAATCTGGAAATAATCATTCTGACCCGATCACAGAAAGATTAGAATCATGTTGCACCTTATTTAGATATCAGCATTGAAACTTCAGATTCATGTGTTTCATTTCTAATAACCACAGAGGTCAAGAAATTCATAAGGGTTCATGGAGGAATTGAGCCAAAGTTTGCTTTCTACCACCTACTTCAGGTGGCTCACAATGACCCATAATTCCTGGTCTCTGGGCACCTAAATTCATGTGTCTATACCACCCCTAACATGTATATATAATTAAAAATAATAAAAATAAAATGAAAAACATCCTTTTGCTAAAACAAATAGTATTCCTTTCAAGAATTAAGTGTCCCTGTGTTTGGTAAGAGAAAGCAAAGTCTCTGCTTTAAATGGCACATCTGTATCTCAAACCCTCCTCCCAAAACTCAGGGATCTATACAAGAGGGCACAGAGAGATTGTAAGAGACTGAGATGTGGATCACTATAGTGGTGCAGAGTTTTCCTGACTAAACAGGGAAGTTGCACAGGTGAACTCACAGTGGCTGTGACAGCATGCCCAGTGCTATGGAAGTTCAAGTCAGACAAAACACCATCATGGAGATGGGTGGTCCTCACGCAATTCCAGCCCTAGCTGAGGAGTTATTAGTAATTGATAGCAACAAGAATAGCAAGAATTACTTTTCTTTAAGGGTGTAATGCCTGGTAGGTTGTCCATGCCCTATTGGATGGCCAAACCCTGAAAAGTTTGGGTACTAAGACCATCCAGGGCTATACTGATTGGATGTTTTTAAAAATGTATATGGCTGCAAAGTGGAATGGGTATGGAATGGAGTGTGGAGAAGGAATTTGGGAAGGTGGAGGGGGTGAATATAATCGAGATATAGTACATGGATTTCTAAAAAAAATATAAAAATATGCTTAATGTAACACAATGTCATCAAGAAGAGGA